AGGAGAGATCCTTTCTTTCTGCCCTGGCCTGCAGTCCTACGTGGCTGAGAGTCTGGTCAAGCTGCAACGGAAAAGCTGAATTATCTTCAGTGAGCTAAAGTTACTGTGAGCAAAGGCTGAGGGGCGGAAACCAGCGAGAGAGAAGGTGGGAACTCGAGGGGATAATGATATTCTCCGTATGTGAACGTATCCACTCCCAACGACCCTCTGAAGAAGGTGCTGACTTACAGAGCAGGGAGAGAAGGGCGTGGGAGAGTTACGGGTAAACCCTGATGAAATTAGGGGCAGAGCCAGGACTGCGACTGGGGCAGTCAGTGGCTTGGCTGTTACCCCACTGCATCGGGAAGGCCCCTGAAACCCGAAGGGGATTACACGGTGAGAGGAAACGACCTCTGGCTCGCAAAGGCCGGTGCTGGCTTACCCACAGGGCGGCGATCTCCAGGCCCTGCTGCACCAAGGAGGGGTGGCGGGGCCTCTGAGTCTGGCGCAGAGACGTGGGCACGTAAAAGCTGCTGCCTCACCTGCCTTTTAACTCCCACGGACTCCCTCCCTGGGGACAATCTCTGGAGCAGTTTGGGGAAGCCACTGCTATGCAAAATGGTCTGCTGCTTCAAAGGTTTACTCAGCACAGTCCTTTTTAAAATTAATTAATTAATTTTAATTTTTATTGAATTTATTGGGAGGTGCACGGCCCCAGAACCGAGTGAGGCCCCACTCCTTTCCTGGGCCACAGTGTCACTGGCGGCGTGTCTCGCAGTTGGCTCTGGGACTGGAACAGCTCTTCGCCGAAGTCTTCTGACGGTGCCCCCGGTTCTGCTTTGAACAATCTATTTGTGCGCGTTACTTGGGGTCGCAGACACGGGCTGTGCGTCAGGGCCGGGCTGAGGAGCGTGAGGAGGATTCTGAGGCGTCGCCTGGCCTGAGGAGGGGTGGAGGGGACCCGGCAGGGGATGATGAATCGCATCACCAGTGCCGTGCGGCAAACAAGGACGGGACAAGAGCATTTGAGATCTTGCTCGTTGGCGTATGTCATTGGTTCGGCTCAAACAAACTCTTAAAAAAAGGATGCAGCAGGGGAGTGCCCTTACCTGCCAGGGAGACGTTTTCCAGCAGAAGGAGCCGCGGCGCGGAGAGAAGCACAGGTAACCTTGGCAGAGCGGCGGCTTTGCCCAGGTGGAGAGGCCTTTCTTCACTGGAAGGTTGTCCCCTCTCCCCGTTCCACAGGAAGGGCCAGGTCTCCTCAAAACCAAGGGAGAAGGACCTTGGAGACCCCGTGGTTCCAGGTGGAGTGGCGAGCCGTTCAGGGATCCTCATGCGGACTTGGCAATGAGGACCTGGCTGTCGACGGCCGAGAATCGGCTCTGTGAAGGGGACTCCGCCCAACTCCAACCGTGTAACAAAATGCGTTCTGTTAGCAGTGTTTAGGTCTTCTTCTCCTTGTCTTGGTGCTGTGATTTTTCCGTGTCATTCACTTATGGGCAGGAAAATGAATCATTTACCATTGTCATTACACGCGATCTGTTCCCAGCCCTCTGCTGCCGACAGCTAAGACCTCCTGGGGCCCCAGGTCATGTGCAGTCCGGTTGCAGAGTTCAGGTGATTTCATTGACTCCGGGGGTGTGCCAGTATGGGCGAGGGGCGGAGGCACTGGGACTCCCTAAGCAGGGTCCAAAGGAATGAGCTGAGAAACCTCTAACCTGTATGTATGTAGGTGAAGCCCTCATCCATATGGAGATACTTTCCTGACACCCTCCCAGCCTGGCGCCTGCTCAAGCACCTGCTCAAGCGCCTGCGTATCACCATAGCAACCCACACCCTACCCTCACCTAACAAGCAGTAGGAAGTCTCCCTCCAGGTGGGAGAAAGGGCCAGCGAAGAAGGCCTTGCCCAATTAGGAGGGCTTCGTCTTTGGGGGTTCTCATTCCGTGACCTTTTTCCCTAAGGGCTCGTGACATCTGGTGCTATACTGCAGCGGCCCCCAACCTTTCTGGCACTAGGGACCGGTCTCGTGAAAGACAATTTTTCCACGGACCAGTGTGGAGGGGATGATTTCGGGATGATTCAAGCGCATTATGTTCAAGCTCCCCTCCTCTCCCGGTGAACGCAGGAGCCCCTCAGAGGGGTCTAATTTAGACAGCCCCGGCTGTCGCTGTCTTTGGTTGGGTTCCACCAGAGCAGGCCCTGACAGTGCAAGGGGTTTCCTGGGGCTGTGACCCCCCTGAAGCTTCGGTGGGGAGCAGGGCGGCCAATTAGGGCGCGTGAGGCCTCTGGGAGGCTCAGTGATCATGTCCGATCAGGCCCTAAGGGCTGCCGATGGGCCGTTGGGATGCTGCCGAGGTCGGGGCCCCGCCGGAGCTTTGGCATTATGCCACTGTTACTGTTGGTCTCCGCCACGTATTACGAGAGCTTCCTCACTGATCTTACTGCTCCCAGTCCGTCTGGCACCCGGTGCCCAAGTTGCTGTCCCTGATGCGTGCTACGATCATGGGGTGTCCATGCTCAAATGTCTGATGCTTCCTCGTGCCAGGGTGACCAAATCGGAAGCTTGTGTTCCAGGCACTGAACTTGGAGCAGGGGATATGGCAGTGCCCGCCCCCATGCAGCTGACCCTCTGCCTGGGGAGACTAGAAGTGACCGCAGGGGGTGCTAAGAGTCAGAAAGGGACAGGGTGTCCTGGGACCCCCAAGGAGAGGTGCCAGACACAGTCTTGAGTCACAGGAAGCTGTTGATGCAGAAACTGTTGGGTGAGCATGGGGTCCACTCTCCCTCTTTTGCTAACAGACCTCCTGCATTTGCGGGAGTGGCAATGGCTGCAGTGAAACACGACCGTACTCCCCGGACTTCCTGGCAGAGACATGGGCAGTGAGAGACAGTGGAAGTCACTGGGTTTCCAGAAAAGCTCTCTGAAAGAGGCTGATTCCACAATAGACATACCCTTTCCCCTTTCAATCCTTCTGTTCCCAGCACTCTGGTACCACATGCAATGGCTGGAGCTGTAGTGGCCATGTTGTGACTACGAGGGAATCTTGAAGGTGGATGTACATGCTAGGGATGATGAGCAGGAAGGAAGGAGGAGGCTGGGTCTCCGAAGACCTGGGAGCTCTCAATCCAGTCCTGGACTGACCGCCTGCAGACTTCTTTTATGAGAGAAAAAGTAAATGTCTTTCTCCTTTAAGCCACTGTTATTAGGGTTTTCTCCTATCGTTTGTCGAACGCAATCATAATGAATGCAGTGTCTGAAGCGTTAGCAGAAGTTAGACCTGCAAACGAGTGTTCCCCGGAGTGCTGCAGGGCGGGGTTTACCAGGCCGAGGAGGAAACGTGTTTCAGGCGGAGGGACGAGAGCGTTCAAAGCCCTGCAGGGAAAAACGCCGGACTTCACCCACCCAGGGCAGAGGGAGCCCCGAATGGTGAGGTTTTCACTTCGGGCAGATTCCCCTGGTGCCCAGACTACAGAGGGGCTGGATTTGAGTGAGGAAGGGTTGAGGGATCGTTTTGAGGCCGCCACTGTGGCCGGACCAGAGATGAAACTGGTTCGTGCCGGCCAGTGGCTGTAGGAACAGAGAGAGACGGGGCAGGCCGGGACTTGAACGGGGAGAATTCCTGAGAGCTGGTGGGTGATTGGATGTGGGCGGAGCGAGCAGGAGGCGCGGAGGAAGAGCCGTAGTGAGACGGCGGGGGGCGCTGAGAGGCGCAGAGCGGGGAGCCTGGGGTGACGCGGCCCGGCTCAGCGCGGAGGAAGAGCGCAGCCCTCCGGGGAGAGCCCTGGCCTGGGGGTCAGACGGCGGCCGGCCGCACGCCTGATGGGGCCGCCTTCAGAAATGCCCTTGACCCCTTTAATTCTGATTCTCAACCCAAACTGAGGCTGCAGTCAGCTAGTGTGTAAAGTTCCACCCTGACCCGTGAGGCTCAGTGGGTTGGGCGTCCTCAGCAAAGCGAGAGGTTGCCGGTTTGATTACCGGTCAGGGCACGTGGCTGGGTGGTGAGTTTGGTCCTGGGGGGAGGGGCGGGGCCGCGTGCAAGAGGCAGGAGGCACCGATGGGTGTTTCTTCCCCCCTCCCTTCCTCTCTCACTTTTTTTTAAAAAGAAGATTTTATTTATTTATTTTTAGAGACAAGAAAGGAGGGAGAAAGAGAGGGAGAGAAACATCAACGTGTAGTTGCCTCTCGCACATCCTCCACCAGGGACCTGGTCCACAACCCAGGCATGTGCCCTGACTGGGAATCGAACCCATGGCCCTTTGCTTCGCAGGCTGATGCTCAATCCACTGAGCTACCCCAGCCAGGCCTCACTCTTAAAAAACAATACAAAACAAAACAAAACAAACCCTGCCCGAACGCCCTGGCGTTAGTGAAAGCACAATGTTAACTAAAACTGAAATGTTGCGTCTCAGGTTCCCTCCGACCCCTGCGCTCTCGGCGCTCAGCGATTCTGTCTTTTCTCTCATCTGTGATAACTCGGGGCCCAGTCGCCGCTCCCGGGGCGGCCCAGAGGAAAGCCCCCCACCTTCCAGAGCCCCACTGCGTCGGCCCCCCGTAAACCCTTGTTCCGCCTTCACTGAGACGCACAGGGGGCTGGGAGGCGCTGCTGGCTTAGGAGCCGGGTAGGTGTCCCGGGGTCAGGATCCGGCTCCTCGCCCTGCAGCCTCTGGCGGGGCCGGGACTGCGGGGTGTCGCCGCTCGCTCCGCGCGCCTCCTCCCTCCCTGCCCCACCCTCCCCGCTCCCGCGCGCCTCCCAGCTCCTCCCCGCTCCTCCCCGCGCCGCCCCGCGCCTCCCGGCCCCGGTGTGCGGCTGGGCTGCGGCGCGCCAGGCAGCGGCGGTCGGGCGCAGCGGGTCCGGCGCGGGGAGCCGGGCGCAGCCCCGGCTCGCGGGACCCACGGCCCTCGCCCACCGGAGGTCGGCCTGGGGGGCCCGCAGGGCACGCGGAGCGCCGAGTGCGTGTCGGGCTGGGCCCCGCACCCCGGCGCAGGAGCGCGGGCGCGGCGCGGCGGAGCGCCGGGCATGGAGCCGGCCCGGGAGCCCCCAGCGCGGGTCCGGCCGCCGCCGCCCCCAGCCGCCCGCCCCGCGCCCGCCCCCGCAGCGCCCAGGCCGCGCTCCCCAGCGGAGGCGGAGGCCCGAGGCGCTGAGGGGCTGCTGCGGCGATCGGGCTCCGGCTACGAGGGCAGCACCAGCTGGAAGGCGGCCCTGGAGGGTAAGAGGCGGAGCCGCCCTCCATCCCCTGGGCCTGGGGCTGGGGAGGAGGGTCAGAGTCACCTTGGCCGGTCTCCCGGAGGGGAGGGCGGGGAGCGCGACACTGGTATCCGGAGGATTGATTTCAGGGCGATTAGGTGACACCTCGGGAGAGAAGAGGGATGTAACTGGGGACCAGCTACGGTTAGTCACCGCCTTGACCCTGTCTCTGCAGCCGATCCACTCTTTGACCTTGGGAGCAGGTTCTGTGCTCTGAGCCTCAGTTTCCTCGTGAGCGAGGGGGGACCGTTACTGTCAGCCACTCACCTGAGGGGCACGTTGAGGGGGTGGCGTGACTCCGTGGTGGTGGGAACGCTTTGGGCAAAGTGACAGAAGCGGGACACCCCGGAGATGGTGCCCGTGTCCGGTGAGAAGGGGGCGGGGGCACGGGCGGGCGGGGGCGGGGGGACCCCTTGGGGACCGGGAGGAGTGAGAACATCGGGAGGCTCTTTGCAACCTCAGAGGTTCCCCTGCTCCTTCCAGGCGCGGCAGTGACCCTGGCTGGCCAGGGGGACAGCCAACAAAGTGGAAAATAGACTTCAAGTCCGAGAGTTGTTTCAGGAAACTTGTGCTGGCCACTGGTGGTGGTGGTGGGGGGTGCCTGGTGCGCGGTGTGGGAGCTCCCGGAGTGGGCAGGGCAGAGAGAGGGCCAGTCCGTGCTCCGGAGGCTCCTCCCTACTCCTGACGCCCCAGGCCAAGGGCGGAGGATGTGGGCAGCGTTACAAAGGGGAGCCCAGACTCCTCCTCACCCCACGTTTAGGGAGGGTGTGTCAGAAGGAGAGGGCTTCCTGGAGTAGGTGGCATCTTAGGACACTTGGGGAAGGGAAGGAAGGGTGCACCAGACTCAAGGAGTGACACGTTCAGGGGCCAAGTGGCCAGCCTGTCCCTCGTGCGGAACTGAACTCCGGAATACCAGGATGCAGGGAGGGGGCAGAGGAGACGAGTCTGGGGGGGCCCAGGCAGCGAATGGCCACCCAGGCCTTGCCGGAGACTTTGGACTTTGAAGGGCCCACTGGGAGGCTTACAGCGTGGGCTGAGACAGTGGGTTTGTCCTTGAAGAAGTAGTGGTGTCTCGGAGGGGTCAGGCCGAGGCCGGGTCAGTGAGGAAGGTGGGGCGGCGATCGGGGGGCTGGGGGGGCTGGGGGGGGACATAACCAGCACCTGGCCGGGCAGCTGCCTGACCAGAAGGGAGAGGTGGAGACCCCCGTGCCGGGACTTGGCCCGCAGGCTGGTGGGCCTGGGATGCGGGCTCTGGAGGGGAAGTCGGGCGCCTGGGCACCTGCGCTTTGGGAGCAGAGGGCCGCTGCAGGGCTGCCTCGGGCTGCAGCTGCGAGGGGCTGGCTGAGTGGAAGGCAGGTGGACACACCCCTGCCTGTGCCGTGGCCGCCTGGCGCGTGGCTGGGTTTGCCTGTGGCCCCGCTTCCCTCCGGCCCGCGTCATTTCTGGAAGCCGTGTGCTCCTCTCACCTGTGTCCTCCACTCGTCCGTTCATGAGGTTCCCGCAGGGTCTGTGCTAAGCTAACTCTAACGCCGATGGTTAGGGCCACTTCAGGGTGGTGTGGTCTCTTTCAGTGCCTCCTCCGGCTTCCACTGCCTGCTCCCAGCCACGGCTGGGGCTGCGCCCCTCACCTGTGAGTGAGGCAGGAGATGGCCCAGGGCTCTCCCGGGACACTGGGTCTTCCAGCCCCTGGGCGGCCGCTCCCTGCTACTGCTATACCTGCGGCCCAGCCTCGGCTGGGCGTCCTGGCTCCCTCCCGGCCCGTCTCTGAGTCCCACGCTCCCTCTGGCACTGCCTCTGTGTCCACTGGTGTCAGCCCCACCCGTGGGGTCTGAGGTCCTGGGGGCTCAGCGTCTGGGGCCTATGGGCTTTCCCCACAGGTGTTTTAGGGTCTTCGGTCTGAGTCCCTGTGAGGGGCTTCCCCTCTGCCACACCCCTGAGGGTCTTTTTAAACATTTTTGACTTTAGTTATTTATTGTTAGAGAGAGAGGAAGGGAGAGAGAGAGGGAGAGAAACATTGATGTGTGGTTGCCTCTCACCTCCCCCTACTGGGAACCTGGCTCACAACCCGGGCACGTACCCTGACTGGGAATTGAACTGGCGACCTTTTGGTTTGCAGGATGATGCTCAACCCACTGGCTGAGCCACACCGGCCAGGGCGTGAGGGTCTTCTTGGTGCTCCCTGGGGGCCCCCGTCAGCTGTCAGAAGAAGGGAGCTTCTGGGCCAGGACAGGCGCTGCTCCGTGGGCCCTGGGCCAGAGGTGGCACAGCTGACCCACCTCCGACGCTCTTCCTGTCCCTGTCCAGACACAGCTCTGGGTATCAGGAATGTCCCGGCCCTTGAACAGTCACAGGACGGGGCTGAGGCTGCCCGGCGAGGAGCACAGAGTCCGGAGTCGGGGAAACCCCAGCCAGGGGTCGCCAGGATTTTGGACTTGTTTGGGCCTCAGTTTCCTTATCTGCCGTGCTGGGCAATATGGTTGCCCCTTAGGGCTACACGGCCTGGTGCGTGGCGTGGGCTGTGGGCAGGTGACTCCTCCCCAGGCCCCTGGGCGTGGCCCCTGCAGCCCCCGTCGGGGAGCTCAGCTGAAATCCTTGGAGTCTGGTCTGCCTACCTTGAGTCCACTCCCCACCCCGCAAGCTGGAGTCCGTGTGCCCGGCCCAGCCCGTGGACGCGGAGCACACGCATGGCGGATGAGGGGTCTGCCACTGCTGGGGGCCGAGGGTTTTGCCGCCTCCACTTAGCCACGCACACCTGCAGGGAAACAGGAGACTTCTTGACCTGACCAGGCCGAACACTCAGGGGGCCTGTGCTCCTTTAAACCCACAAGCTGAGCATTTATTGAGCACCTACTGAGTGCCGGGCCCCATGCTGGGGGCTTTCATGACGGCTGTGTCATTTACTCCTCGCATCTCCTCTCGCAGGGAGCTGGTGAGTGCTCTATCTAGTTTATAGCGGAGGAAACTGGGACTCAGAGAGGCCGGGTGTCTCCCCCAAGGACACACGTGAAAGCCCCTCTCGGGTTTGTCCCTGGGCCTCTGACACAGTGAAAGCCCCCACACTGTCCCGTGCAGACCGAGGACCCTGGGCCTGGTAAGGCCAATGGGACGGAATCAAATTGCTTCGGACGCAGGTCACTCCTCCTCGGGCTCCTCAGACGGGCCGCCACCTCCCGCACAGACAGGTGGAGTGAAGTGGAGACCCTCTTCAATCAGACGGCTGGGAAGGCAGCCCCGGTGCGGAAGGCTTCCCCGAGACCGACAGTTAGGTTTACAAGTAGGAAGCCAGTCAGAGCTGCCCCTTGGCCGAGTCTGATCCCGCTGTGGGTGTTCACCTTCCCTCCCCTGTCCCCCCAGCCCCGGGGGACAGCCTCGGGGGACAGGCTGGGGAAGGTGGCCCAGAGCTGCCGCCTGGGTTCTGGACCCACTGGCGCTGATCTGAGGCGGGGATGTTTCCGGCCTCGGGGGGGGGGCGGGGGGGTGGTGCTGGGGGAGTGGGGAGGTGGCCCGGGGGCCTGGGAGGGGCCCGAATGAGTCTGCATATCTCAGACTATAGATTTTTCCGTGCTCACCGATTCTGAATTTTTAATGTTGAAAGTTCCTTGATTAGGCATAAACCCACAAGTTCCTGATCAAAACCACACGCATGCATTTAGCCAAGTCTCTTAAAAACAGAAAAATTGCCCTGGCTGGTGTGGCTCAGTGGATGGAGTGCCGGCCTGTGAACCAAAGGGTCACTGGTTTGATTCCCAGTCAGGGCACATGCCTGGGTTGCAGGCCAGGTCCCCTGTTGGGGGGCATGTGAGAAGCAACCACATGTTGGTGTTTCTCTCCATCTCTTTGTCCTTCCCTTCCATTCTCTAAAAATAAATAAATAAAATCTTAAAAAAAAAATACAGAAAAAGCCAAGCCCTGTGTTGGAGAGTCTCGGACAGCCAAGATCCTGCTCGCTGGGCGGTGGCCCCGACAACCCAGAGACTCAGCCATGAGCCTCCTTGGAGCTGTGGGTCTGGCGGGGGCGGGGGACTTGTTTGGGCCCGGGAGCCCCTTCTCCCACAGTTGCTCCTTCTATAGCATGAGGCTAAGTCATACATATTCATACACATAAATCGCTGCCCCTAGTGAAGACCGTTGCGCAGAAGGAAGGGTTGCTGAGTTAGACATCCGTTTGTATGGTACAGTCGTGTCCCCTCCCCAAAGGGATGTGCTGGAGTCCTAACCCCACGGAAACCTCCAAATATGACTTTGTTTGGAAAGGCGGGCATTGGAGGTGTTAAGATGGGGGCTTGCTGGAGTAGGGCCGTCTCCTCGTCCACTGAGACCAGTGTCCTTGTAAGGAGACAGTCACGTGACGATGAACGGGCCATGTGATCATGAAGGCAGAGACTGGAGGGAACCCTCTGCAAACCAAGGAGTACGGAAGATTGCCTGCAGACCACCAGAAGCGTGGACGAAGCAAGGAAGGGTCCCCTACAGGTGTCGGAGGGAGCGTGGCCCCGCCGACGCCTTGACCGTGGGCTTCTGGCCTCCAGGCCTGGGAGGCAGTAGGTTTCCGGTGTTTGAAGTCACGTCAACTGTAGGGAATGAGTATGGCACGGATTTGGACCGTCCACCCCACAGCCGTCCTGGGTGAGGGCAGGCAGTGAACAACGGGCTCCCTGTCCTGTCCTGTCTGTGTCCCCAGTACAGTGTCCAGAACAGTCATCACCGTGAGGGAAGGAAGAGGCTCTTCGGTTCTGGTGACACTGGAGACACGGGCACAGACGCCCCTTTCCCCGGAGAGCAGGTGTGCCCACGTGCCCTTCCCTGCAGACGCAGCGGGGTTCAGGGCTGGCCAAGGACATCGTCATTCAGTGCTGCTGGGTTCCCCCGTCTTTTTAGTGCCGCTGGGTGTTCTGTGACATGCAAGGCAGTGAGTAGCTTAGCTCTGGTCCAGGGACTCCAAAGGGGAGAAGAGCACAGCTCTTACCCTAAAGGGGTCTGAGGGCTTATCACCATCATCATCATCATCATCATCATCATGGTATCTCTTAGCGTTGAAGTAGAGTTTCTGTATCAGACACTGTTCTAAGTACCATACATTGAATTCTCATAAAACCCTAAGTGGCAGATACTACTTTTACTTCATTTTGAAGATGAGGACAATGAAATAAAATAGAAGCCAGGTAACTTTGCCAAGTTAGTAAGTCACCTAGAAGATGGCAGAGCCGGGATTCGAACCCAAGTGAGGCAGGTTAAGGCACCATGCTCTCTCATCCTCCGTGCGCAAAGAGCGACGGAGTCAGTGGTACGGGGGGATGGGAATGCATGGAAGGGAAGGACCGACGGGATCCACACACAGCCGTCCTGCTGCAGCTCGTGGGGGGCCTGCCCCACAGCGGACTGCAGGTGGGGACGGAGGCTTCACTCGCACTGAACCTGGGGCCACCTGCCCCTGGACTCCTGGTCACTTGCCAGCACCAAACTTGTTCATGGGAAGGATCCCAGGTACAGGTGGAAGGCTGAACGCATGTGTTCATTCCCTTTCCCTCTGAAGCCCATGAATACATCAGTAAAGGAATTTTTAAAAGGCCACTAGGACCACAAGAACTGGAGAGGCGACAACAGCAATAGAATTGGGAGCTGGGAAGCAAATAATGAGAGGTAACTGACTCCACCAGCAGAGGGCGCACCTGAGTGACACCGGGAGGGGGCGCCAAGTCATCAGGGCCCAGAAAGCACGAGGACTGGTCGAACATTTCTTTAGGAAGATCTACACCCCCAGGTCCTTGTCCCTCTCTCTGTATAGCTTCTTCCTAGCCCCGGCAGGAGCCTGAGACTACGTCTCCGGAGACGGGGTCTCTAGACACCAACACATTGGAGAGCAAGCTGTTGAGTAGACGGTGGCACTGTAAACACGGAAGAGGCTTTTCCAGGGACTCTGACCACCCACCCCAAGAGAAAAAGGCCCAAGGAGGTCGACAGCCAGAGAGCCTTGAGGATCAGCCCAGCTGCATCAGTCTGCCATGACCCTCCAATACCGCCCCCCCCCCACACAGTTAGTAAGCCCCACTCGTGGTTTCAGAGACACCAGTGAGCTCTGTAGTCCTGCTGCCTTAACCAGGAGCAATTAACCAGGGCTCCCCACGCATCCCAGGGAAGTCTCCCACGTGGAGAAAAAGCAAGTTGGAGGCTACAGAGACCATACAGGGAGAAATAAACTGTCTGCCCTGCTCCCCCCTCCGTAAACCCCTGTCAGTAGTACCCTCAGACAGGCGAGAGGAAGGGTGACATCATTGAAATAGGAACAGGTCCTGCCTGGTGTGGCTCAGTGGATCCAGTGCCAGCCTGTGGCGAACTGAAGGGTTGTTGGTTGGATTCCCAGTCAGGGCACACGCCTGGGTTGTGGGCCAGGTCCCCAGTTTGGGGCACTCTAGAGGCGACTGATCACTGTTTCTCTTACACATTGATGTTTCTCTCCCTCCCCTTTCTAAAAATAAGTAAATAAAATCTTAAAAAAAAATAAAATAAGAACAGGATGCTTTCAGGGGGAATATTCAGGGAACAGCAGCCACAAAGCCAAGAATAACCTTGGAGATTAAAAATAATCGTAGACATGAAAAATTCAACAGAAAGATAGAAAGATAAAGTTGGAAGATAAAGTTGGAAGATAAAGGACCAGGAAACAGAACAAGAAGACAGAGATGTCGGATGAGGGAGAAAACAGAAGAATAAACTGGGAGGACCAGCCTAAGGGGTCCCCCGTTCCCCTGTCCTTTGCAAAGTGCCATACAAATAAGCTCCTAGAGCCGTGATCATGCACTTGGATGTCACAGCGTGTTGAATCGCTGTGGGCGTTTCTCGGCATGTCCTCTCGGTTTGGGTGCTCGCTCGTCATGGAGGGGAAAGCGTGCGCAGCCCAGCACTGGTCTGTGGACGTGCTGCTTCCACCTATTTTCATGCATAACTTTGGTTAAAAAAAACTTTAAAAAGGCTAGGATGGCAATAATAATAATAATAATAATAATAATAATAATAGGAACCTGAACAGTGCTGGCGAGGTGGTGGAGAAATCAGAATGCTGCGCAGAGCGTTGCTGCTGGACAGCAGGGTGGCGCAGCCGCTGGGGGAACAGCATGGCGGCTCCTTGAGCAGTTAGACGTGGACTGACCGCGTGACCCTGCAAGTCCACTCCTAGGCGTTGACCCGAAAGAACTGCAAACAGCCCTGGCTGGGGTGGCTCTGTGGGTTGAGGATCGTCCTGCAGACCAGAAGGTCGCCGATTCAATTCCTAGTCAGGGCACATGCCTGGGTCCCCAATGACCTCTTGATGTTTCTCTCCTTCTCTTTCTCCAAAAATAAAGTCTCTTAAAAAACCCTGAACACAGGGACTCAAATGGGTGCTTGCATGCCCGTGTTCACCGCAGCATTATTCATAACACCCCAAAGTGGAAACACCCCAAGTGTCAACCAGCGGATGAATGCATAAACAAAGTGTATCTGCTCATACAGGAGAATATTTTTCAGCCAGAAAAAAAGAAATGAAATTCTGACACAGGCCACAACCTGGAAGAACCTGGAGAACATTACATTAAGTGAAATAACGTATTTTCGGACTATAAGAGGCACCCCTCTCCCCCCTCCACCTGCCCCCGCCAACTTGGTTGTTAATGCTGCCAGCGAGTTCTGTTTACATTTACATTTGGTGAAATATTATGTTATTTATGTTATTAAGTATTTTACCACATTTTTTTGCTTCAAGTTGTTTTTTCCTATTTCCCTCTAAAACCTAGGTGCGTCTTATGGTCCAAAAATATGGTCAGACACAAAAGGACAAATTTTGTATGTTTCCACTTACATGAAATCTCTGTAATGGGCAAATTCATACAGATGGAAAATAGGGTAGAGGTTGCCAGGCACCGGGAGGAGGCGGGAATGAGGAGCTGATGCTTAATTGGCACAGAGTTTCTGTTCTGGGCCATGAAAACGTTTTGCAAACGGACGGTGGGCACGGTTCCACAATATTGTGTATGTAATTGATGCCACTAATTGTACATTTGAAAATGGTTAAAACGGCAACTTTGGTGTTAAAAGACTTTAAAAGACCCTATGTCTAAAGTCTAAAAGGGCTCTTTTACTAAATATCAAATAAAAACTTTAACTGGTAGCAAAAAAAAAAAAATTAAAAATTTAAAGAAGGGAGAAGCCAGAGGATCAGGAAAGGTTCCGTCAAGAGGGCGCATGGGGGGCAGATTTCAAGAGGTAGCAGTGGAGGAGCGGGCCTTTGGGAGCAGAGACCCAGCCGCAGGGCCGGGAGGGTGAGCTGGGTGCTTTCACGGAGTCTGTGCGGCTGAAACAGGACCAGGCGGAGAAGCAGCGGGAGGTTAGCGACTGGAAGCTCTGCGGGCCACAGAAGGAGTTCAAGTGCGTAGTCCCGGAGGGAGGGTTATCCTGCAGGGGAACCTGGGGATCTGGGAATCAGAGCCCCGCGCTGGAGCAGCGACTCTCAGGCCTCAGGGAGAACCACCTGGAGCACTTGGTGCGGTCCAGACGGCTGGCCCCGCCCCCAGACGGCTGGCCCCGCCCCCAGAGCATCTCGCTGTTGGGTTGTGGGGTGGTGCAGGGCTGGCGGTGGTGATTGGTGGGGAGTCGGGGCTGGGAACTGAACCCTTTCTCTTCTCCTCAGACACCACCACCCGTCTCCTGCTGGGGGCCATCGCCGTGCTTCTGTTCGCCATCCTGGTGGTGATGAGCATCTTGGGTGAGCCTGGGCGACGGCGCACTTCGGCGATTCCGTGTGTACCGCCTTGTCCGAGCGTTTCTGATTAGGTCCAGAAAGGTCCCAGCTGCACCACGGATTCCGTGGGGGACAAAGTACATGCAAAACCAAGCGTTAGTTCTAGAGGAGATTTCAGCTCAAAACAACCTTTCCCCACACCGACTCCACAAGCCCCCTTGACTAGGCCACGCAGGGCAAGTGAAGGCGGGACTTCGGTTCTCTTCTGTAGGTGCTGCGAGAACTCAGAACAAACTGGGGGTGGCTTGGGCAGGCCATGCTTCTTGGGGGAGATGAGTTTGGGATAAGGGCCTTCAGAGATCACATTCATTTGCTGAACAAACATTTATTGAGCCTGCTGCGTGTTAGGCCCTGGGCTAAGTACTAAGGGTTAAAAAAAATGAGTATGTATCTCCCTCATGCAGATATGGAGGTGTTACCGCCCTGGGGGGCTTCCCAGGGGAAACACAGAGGTCAGACCCTGAAGAAGGAATGGGGGCTTCCTGGGAGAACAGGCTGAGGGTGGGGCCTGAGCAACAAGCAGTGCTGTGGGGGACGAGGGGGAGGGGGGCAATGTCACTGAGGACAGTCACCAGGGAACTTGGCTGCTTTTAAATGGATTCAAGGCCAAGTATGTTGTGGAATCTGAGGGCTTTGCAGAGTGGTTCCAGGGCCTCTGTCTTGCATCTTTGAGAAGCCCCCTCAGCCCAGAGGTAGGCACCTCCAAATGGGCAGAAAGTCCACCAATAACGTCGGCCCCCGCCACACCCTCGAGTGCAGGGCGTGCGTGACAAGCAGGGAGTTTGTGGGTGTTCAGAAAGAGCTGGGGTGCACCTAGAGTACTTACTACGAATTAAATCGGTTTCCTTCGGGCCCGTGGCTAGGTGGGGAGGTCGGAGCAGTGTGTACAGGGAGCAGATTGGGGTGTCGGTAAAGGACGACGGTCTCCCCAGAGATCCTTGTGGAAAAGCGGTTGAAGTGTAGCCTCACCACACGTGGGTCTGTAGCTCCCTGAACAGCTACGCCGAGCGTCAAACCTGATTAATTGGTGTCAGCGAGGCTGGAGATCCCCAAGGGCTGGAACACCACGGGCCTGCTCTTGGCTCTGTGTTGGTCTACATTTAATCAATCACTTGTATGAAAACAAACAAAAAGTATGCTTATGGAATTTGTAGGTGATACAATCCACAGAGGGATGTTTGCTAGGACAGGTGGGAAAAAAGATCAAGCTGAAAATGTATCTTAGCGATGAGCCAGCGCGAATGAGATGCATGTGGAAGGCAGTGATGTGAGACCCGTCCTTCGGATTTGAAAAATGTTTTATCCGTGTTCTGGCCACTGGGGAGGCCTGGCTTGGACAGAGACCACATGAAAACGACAGAAGAGTGTGGCTTAATTCCTCTTGGCAAGGGGGCCCTTGGGAGCCAATGGACGCTCTGGGCTTCCTTCCCAGAGAAGGGCACAGAGGCGCACCCCCACGGGCTCTTCTCTGCAAAGCAGTCTGAGGGCCCGGGACCACCGGAAGGCAGTGTGCTGATCCCTGAGGCCGATGGTGGGACCCCACCCGCTGTGCCAGTGATGATGTGGCACCCTGCAGGGGCCGGACAGGGTGGCCGGGTGGGGAGGTGTCCAGAGGGCAACCCCTGGTGGGGACGGTGGAAGAGACCGTGGCCGTAGGCCTGGGTGAGGGGAGGCTGGGGTTCTTCCTCAAGCAGGCGCTGGAAGGCAGCCTGGGTTTGCCCTGGGCCACTCCAGAGGCAGATCGAGGTCCAGCAGGACCAGGTCGCAGGAAGGCGGGTTGGGACTCAGAACGGAAAAGGAGCTTCCGGCAGTTCGGCGATGGGATGGGTGGCCTTGTTAGCTAACAGCCGGGGTGGGGGTGGGGGTGCTGGCGGATGAGAGGGCCCCTTAGGGCCTGCAGGCGGTTTCCACCCTGGCTGGAGAGAGAGGACACGTCACGTGGCCTCCAAGTCCCTTTGCAATCTGACTTTCTGGGGTTCCTTGCCTCGAAGAGTTCGGAGAGAGAGGGGAGGCCTTAACCCAGGGGCTAACCTGTCACATGCCCCCCCCATGGTGTCCCGGTCAGCCGCCCCCATTCCTCTCCCGGATGCCTTCAGTCCCCCACCTCCCTTCTCCCGGCCAGGCACTGTGAGGGGCACTCACCTGGGAAGACGGCACATGGCCCATGTCAGTGAGGGGCACCGAAGTCGGGGCAGGCGGAGTGAGCCGTGGGGGGCCGTGGGGGGCCGATGGGGTATTCGTGGGCCGGGCCTATCCCCCCCCAGATGCCGAGCACCCCCCTCTCCCCTGCAGCCTCCAAGGGCTGCATCAAGTGTGAAGCGCCGTGCCCCGAGGACTGGCTGCTCTACGGGAGGAAATGCTACTACTTCTCCGAGGAGCCGCGAGACTGGAACACGGGCAGGCAGTTCTGCCACACCCACGAGGCCGCGCTGGCTGTGATTCAGAGCCAGAAGGAGCTGGTGAGCGCTGGGGCGGGGCACCCCCGGGAGATCCGCACCCTTAGGACTCGGTGTCCCCGGGACACCCAGCCACGGTGGCACAGCCTGGCGTGGGCAGGTGGGCCCCGGGGGTCTGACCTGTGTCAAGGCCAGCTGGGCCGGTCCAGGCTGGTCTGCTGAGCTGGGCTCGGTGCTGTCGCATGTGAGTTTGCACTTGTGAAATGGAAAGTCACATCGGCACGTTCTGCCGGCCGGAATCAGGACACGAGCGTCCCTGTGCCACCCAGGATGGTTTTCTCCACCGAAATAAGAAAGAAGCACAGTCCGTCTGCCGGCTGTGTCGGAGCTTGAGGGTTACGTTGGCGAGGCGACTCAGAATCGCAGCTAGTCCCAGAATCACTTCTGTTCGCCTCTGGCACACAGTGTAACAGCCCCCTACCTACTTCAGAGAAAGGCGCAGGAGTACTCGGGTACAGGGACAGTCAACTTGCACGTTGGGGTTTGTCCCTCGAAGCCCATCGGGTGGGCAAGCCCAGGCGTCCTGTGAATCGGGAGCCGGGCCCCTGGGCCCCTGGGCTCCTGGGCCAGACCGTGTGCCCGGTGTCCTGGCCCAATGGCGTGCTCCTGGAGCCGGGCCCCTCAGGGACCGCTGCAGGCGACAACTGGGCATTTCCTGTGAGCGCAAGGCACTCTTTGATCCCAGCACCTCACTGTTGGGGGACTGTGAGGCGTGCCCCTCTCGGCGCCGGTCTGTAGGGGGAGCCAGCGTTCCAGGCTGCGGTGAGCCGTGGGGAGTGTGGGCAGTCGGGAGACCTCGTCTGACTCTGAGCCCCCTCTCTCTCCCTGGCGCAGGAATTCATGTACAAGTTCACGCGGAGGGAGCCCTGGATTGGCCTGCGCAGAGTCGGGGACGAGTTCCACTGGGTCAGCGGGGAGCCGTTTGACCCGGACACGTGAGCTGAGGCTTCATCCTCCGGCCACTGGGCTTAGACCGTGCAAGGCCCGCCCGCCCCGCGCCCCCCACGCCTCCCAGGGGGCTGCCTGGAGTCGCGCCAGCCGGAGCCCCAGCCCCTGGGTTCCGCGGGCGTGGCAGACCCGCACTGCGGCCCAGGAAGTCCTGCCTGGTTTGGTGGCTCTGGTCCCTGCGTCACAGCGTCCGGGTCCCGGGCTCTCTTCATCCTGGGGCTGCCCTGTCTGAGCAGCGGCCTGTCTGTGTGGCTCAGTGTGGCTCTGCCACGGAGGGGGGGGGGCGGAAGTCCCTGCCGTGGACGTTCCTCTGCGTTGGCCAGAATGCGGCTACGTGAGGACACCTGGCCGCAGCGGGTGTGGAGAGGGGCCCTCTGCTCTGGGCAGCCAAGTGCCACTTAGACACAGAAACTATGGTGGGGGGGACTCGAACCCGGGGCACGGTGAGCGTTAGAGGAGACGCCTCTTGGGGCAGTTGGTGGTGGCATCTGTGGGGCCACGGTGCGGCAGCCAGTGTGTGTGTGAGGGGGGTGGCAGGAGTGTGGTGGCAGGGCCTGGTCTGCGGGGTGGGGGATGGTGGCAGTGGTCACGGCGGGCTGGGTGGGGTGGAGGTGGTGATGTGTGTGTGTGTGTGTGTGTTGGGGGCGCCGTCCAGGTTACAGAAATGCAGGGAATAAGGGAGTAAGAACCTCGACTTTTAGTCCAGACCCTATGGCTGGACGACCCGGCCACGAGGAGGTGGGCGCGGCACCGCTGCCCACTTGATGAGGACACACCTGTCCCCAGTGCCCCCAGCCCCCCAGCCCTCCATGGTGGCCTCAAGCTGGTGACCAGCCACCTTCCCATGGAGGCTGACTTAGCGTCCCCTCTGTCCCCGGCAGCCTCCGGGAGGCAAGTGGCCCTCTTGACAGTTCCTTCCCTCCCCTCCGCCTGTGTCCTCTCTCTCCACCTGTGCCCGTCTTCTTCGTTCTCTCTCTCCCATCCCCCGCCGCATCTCAGGTCCGTTCTCAGTGCTGCTGAGGAAGCACCTTCCGCCCCCATATCCCCCCTTCGGGAAGCTTCCTGCTCCCAGAGCCAGGGAGAGCCCTGGAGACGGGGGTCCCCACTGTGCTGACCGACCAGCCGGCAACCCAGGGCCTGGGGTGGGCTTCCCTGACACTGAGGCGGCCCTGCCCCCTGCCCCGGGGTCATTCTGATGCCGAGTCTTGTGGGACACCAGCTCTGGCCTTGGTGGAGGGGGGGGGCTCAGATCAGGGTGAACAGAAGAAACCTTGAGATGGAAAAGGTGAAAAGGGATGGTTTTCCGCCGGGGAAATCCCCCCCCCACAGGTCCACGAACGACGTGATTTCCTGGGCCACACAGCCCCAGGCGGTAAACATTTGGGTTATTGGGGGCCACCCCTGCGCTATGAGGGCGTTGAATTCAGCTCAGATCTTCCAAGCTTTCCCTGGGCTCGGCACTGTGCATGGGTGCGCGGTGTCCAGGAGATGACCGCCCGGGGACTGGGGGCAGCCCGAGGCAGCACCCGAGGAGGGGCGTGGCAGGGGCGTGGTGCACGGAGTGGGGAGGCGATGGGAAGCCCTGCTGGAAGGGTCTTGGGGCCTAATGTCCTGGAAGGCGATCCAGAGGGGGCGGCCGATGCCCCGGGGTGGGCCGTGCGCCGGGTTGTGAGGCCCGGTCTCTTCTCTCCCGGCCACAGGTTCCACATCGCGGGCCTGGGGGAGTGCGTCTTCGTGGAGACCACCAGGCTGGTGTCGACCGAGTGCCTGATGACCCGGCCCTGGGTCTGCAGCAAGATGGCCTACACGTGAGGTGGGTCTGGCCAGACGCGGCCCTCCAGCCAGGCCCCGGGCTCCTCGCCAAGGCGACACAGTGAGGAGGGTGGCCTCCGCCCCGGGCCAGGCCCGTGAGCTCGGGTTCCTGGGCTCCTCGGCCCCAGGCAGGTCCTGGGGCTCAGCTGTCGATTTCCACACTCTCAGTAGCGTAGGCACCTGTCGCCCCAATACACACACACGCACACAGGGTCCACGATTAGCCACCTGAAAGTCCTGTACCCCCTCCCCCACCCCATTCTGGAGCATTCCTTCCTCACGTGGCCCAGGTGCTGACACAAACGGAGTCACTGTTGGCGCACACACAGCCCCGCCCCCTCTCCCCCCAGAGTCATTTCCCTGCTGGTCGCCGGGGAGGCCGGGAGGGAAGGCTTCCCCTCCCCTGCGTCCCCCACGTCCACCCTCCTTGGGTTCCCAGGCAGGCCCTGCTGTGTCCGAGGTGCTGTGGTGATGGTCACTGACGGAATAGAGAGATGACCGGCACCCAGAGAAGTTGGCTGCGGTTTGCTCCCGGGCCATGGCTGGGGGAGGGGCAGAGGGGCGCAACTCCGGGTGCCCGCCTGTGGGGGGCACTAACGAGGCGCACTTGAGCTAGCTCAGCAGGTGACAGACAGAGCTTGGGAACTGGGGACAAAAACGCGTTCTGTGGCCTCAGTGCGCCTTTAACGTCACTAGGCCCCTGAGTTATTCTCAGACGTCTAGGTGGGGGCTCCATCTGGTTCCTGCATCGCTATTCAACTCCACCTGGCAGACGTTTACTCGCACCCGCCACGTGCCAGACGCCACGCCAGGCGAGGGGAGCAACAGCTTTATCCCCCCAAGGAGCACACAGGCAGCAGAGCAAACAGCTCGGAAAGTACCAGAATGTTCTGGAATGTAGTCCTGGCATGGCTCATTCTGCCGTGGGGGAGGGTCAGCCACAGGGAAGAGATGATGCTTGTGGTGGGTCTGACTTTGTACAGTCCTGCGGCCCCTTCCCTGGGCCCCTGGTCTGCCCGGGGAAGAAGTGGGGAGGTGAGGGGGGTGGCGGTTCCCCTGGGCCTGCGGAGGCTCCCGTGCACCGCCCGTCGCCACCCACACACTTGGAGCAGGTGGCAGTGGGGACCGGGCCTCCCCAGCCCCCTCTCGGTGCCCCTGGCTGGGTGCCACGCGGGCGGCCGGCCTGGGAGCTGCCTGTGTGGATTTGGGTCCCGGCCCATTTTCGGAAAGTAGCTCAGAGGGAAACTAGGTCCAGCTCTGCTCTGCTCAGCCCTTCATTGCTGGGGTTCAAACGAAACCGTCAACGTGGTTTTGTTGGCCTTTCTGCGTGCTTTCTGGATTTTTAGTAAAATATGTTTACTTTGTGGTTTCTTGGTTTGTCTTCACTGGGGAGCCCAAGGGGACCTGGTGTGCAAGAGAGAAGTTGGGGGAATTCAGTGTGGCGGTGGTGGTGGGCCGCAGGGGGCGCGGCAGGAAGCCCACCACCCTCCCAGCACCTGGTGGGGAAGCCTGTGGAGGGGCTGCAGACTCAGGAAGTGGTGGGTGGGCCGCTGTCGCTGTTCTCGGGGCGTTCCTCTCTCTCCCGCCTGTGCCCAGTTGCTCTCACAGTCCCCTCCCCTCCCCGACAGCCCCCCCAAGTGCCTTGCTGTAGGAGTGACACTTCATTTAATTCTGAAATGAATGCCCGGAGGCAGGTAAAGCTCCAGCGGGGACAAAGCTCGACCTTGGCAGGGTCCCAAGGCCAGGACTTGTGCTCTGGTGCCGCCCTCGGGGTTCAGGCAGGAGGGCCCAGCAGCCGGGAAGGAAGCAGGGTGACAGGGACCCACGAACCCGTGCCATTCGGTACTTGACCCTCCACGGCCTGCTGCTGGAAGCTTCTGAGGCCCATGGGTGACTTCAGCTCTCCTGACCCTGGGTTTGTCCTGGGACCACATGACAGGTCTAATCGGTTTAGTAAAGGAGCTCTGACTAGGGCCACCAGTGTTTTAAAAGTTTCCCTACCTGCTTCCTCCAGGGGGAAGGAAACACGAGACAGAAGCAAAGCAAAACACGGGCGCGCCTGTCTTCAGAAACGCAGAAAATCCTTCCAAAGGGTGTAACCCCAGCCAAGTGCCCCCACCTTCCCAGGCGGGCCCAGCGCGCTGGGGTTGCCGGGCTGCGCAGCCCGGTGCTGTGCTCTCAGCAGCCACACGGGGGAAGCACTGAGTAGCCTTCCTTAGCTCGGAGCCCTGGCTGCCGCTCCTTCTCTGGATGCATTTGAACCCAAAGCCCAGTCCTGCCCCAGGTGTAACCCTCGGGCCCGCGGGCGCCTGGGGAAGGATGGAGCACGCACCCCAGGCCGCCCTAAGGCTTCCTTTGTGAAGATGGAGGTGACAGGGAGGAATTTTCAAGGAGCACGCATGGGGTGTGAGCGTCAAGGTGGGCACCGTCCGCCCCTCCTTACGGAGGAGGAAACGGGCTCGGAGAGGTTTAGGGCCCTGAGCTACGTTACACGGCGCGCAGGGGGTGGAGGCAGTGTTCGAACCCAGGCCCCTTCCCACGGGGCGCCGGAAGGCACTTGTGTGGCGTGTGTCCTCTGAGCAGCTCTGAAGAAGTGGGGGGTGCTGGCGATGGAGAAGGGGCCGCCTTGCGGAAGACGTCGGCGTGCTTCTTCTGGGCGCTTTTATCTTCTCCCTGTGGTTTTGCGTGCATGACCCGCAGGGAGCAGAGCAGGTGCTGCTGTTAGTGACCTCTGTCTTTCTCTCCCTTTAGGGCCCCGCTCGCGGCCTCCCTGGGACGCCCCTGGAGACCAGCGTGCCCTCGGTGACCACTCCCCTTCCCCAGCTCCTCCAGCACTGAACACTGGGCCTCTCACGTGTCGTCTGCGGCTCACCTCTTCCTGTCACCTGACCGCTCCCGTCATCGGATTCCAAACCCCAGGGGAGCAGGGATTGCGCGTTGTTGGCTTCTCGGGGTCACACAGCGCGCACTCAAAGATCGTCGTGCGTGAGGACAAGATTGCACCCGTGAACTCTTTGCCTCGGTGGGAGAGAGCGGTGGCTGCCGTCCTCAGAAGACTTGTCTTTTTGGCCTTGATGGGTATGGCCCAGCTTTTAGAGGCGCAGCAAAGACGAACTTTTCAATTTGTTCCGCTTCAATTCCCCGAGCTCATGCACACCCTGGGTGGCCCGAGTGGGGGGTGGCCCAGAAGTACAGGGGCAATGAGGGGGCACTGCCTTGGTCTCCAAAACGTTTGTTTTATCCTACACACGGCCCGGCTGGGGAGGAGACGGCTGTGCATGGGGGCCGGGTTCAGGGAGGGTTCCCACCAGTGAGTGGCGCTGAGGGTTCCGTGATCCCCGGGACAGCAAGCCGACCCTGCTGTGTTGTCCTGTGGCAGCCAAGACAGCAGAGGGGCGGAGGGGAAGCAGGCAGCTGCCCCTTTCCTCCTCCTGGTCTGCAGTCAGCTCCAAACGGGGAATCAATGTGAGGTTGAAACGGGGGCATCCGGGAAGCCTCCTGCCACAGCCACCCGGATCCCTGCGCTCCTGATGCATCCTGGGGTGGGCACACGCTGGGCCTGGCTGCGAAGGCCGGCCCTGGTCCAGTCGGGCGCTAGCTCTTCCAGTAAGCAGTGGCGTAGCTCAGGCTGCTGTGCTAAATCTCTCTGACACCTGGCTTCTCCTCTAAAATGCAGAAATCACGCCTGCTCTGCTGACCTAACAGGGTTTTGAGACCTGTAGCTGTTAGAATTTCAGCGGCTAGAAATGATCGACCCCATTCTCATGGTCCTTGAGCCCTGGAGAGGTTAAGTTACATGTCCAAGGTCACACAAGTAGTGGCAGAACTAGAACTCAGGTCTTGTGGCTCTTCTGTTTCCTGTTTGTTCTCTTATTACTGCACATATCATGCTTCATTAATGTGTTTCCTTGTTCGCCGTCCATGTGGAAATTAAGCTCCTTGAGGGCAGGGATCCCCTTGTGCACTTGTTTGTTTCTCTAGCGCCTGGTACATACAGAAGGTGCTCAATAAATGTGTGTTGAACTAAACTGATCTCGACTCCTAGTTCAAGTGCTCTGTCCTCTGTGTCATGCTCTCTCTGGTCCTGGAAACCTGCATCTCCAGTTCAGCTGCCCACAAACTATGAAAACTTTCAGATTTTTTAAAAAAGATTTTGTTTATTTCTTCTTAGAGGAAGGGAGTGAGAGAGAGGGAGAGAAACATCAATGTGTGGTTGCCTCTCACGCCCCCTACTGGGGACCTGGCCCGCAGCCCAGGCCTGTGTCCTGACTGGGAATCCAATCAGCTACCCTTTGGTTCACAGGCTGGTGCTCAATCCACTGAGCCACACTAGCCAGGGCTGTTTTGGATGTTTTTGAGACAAAAAAATATGCTCATCCCTCCTTGTGACATGCATTCAGGTCCATGGCCTAGAACACAGGGCTCCCTTGAGCAAATGCATACACTTCTAAAACAAAGTGGAGTAACAGTAACTGTTAACACTAATTAAGAGCTTGTGAGGGCCAGGCACTGTGCTATGTGTTCCACCCAGGAAGGGCTCACTTTGCACGGTGCCTGGTCCATTGTAAGTGCTTAATGTGTTCTCAGAGGCCTCATCTCTCACGTACACAGCATGCTGAAGATTCAGACAACGCTCCAGGAAATCTGTCTGGCATGTAAATCCCTAGCATTGCAGGATGCTTTCCTCCAAATTGACCAGCCACGGCTGGGGGTGGGGGAGAATACGGAGAAGCGTGCATTGCTTCTCTAAAGCTTCATCCGAGGAATGACTCCTGTCATTTTTCCACAGTTAAAGCAAGTCACTGAACACCTAACCTCAAAGAGACCAGGAAATGCGATCCTTCCACATGCCAGAAGGAAAAGAAAGTAAAAAAGTCTTGGTGCATGGCAGTCCTAGCTACAATATCTCTTGAACCACATGCTGTGAGAACCCCCTACATTCAAAGCCCCGGATGGAGCAAAGCTGTTCCCATCATGGACCTGCATTAGTTGGTGCTGTGAGCCAGAAAGAGATCTTTCCTTTGTCAGACCTCTGAGATGTGGGCGTTGTTCCAGAAGCTAGCACACTCTAATGCCCTACTCAATCCACACTGGGGTGAAAGTTAAAGAAGTTAATAATAGGATAGGCTAATTGCTATCATAAACAACCCTAACATTTCAGCAGCTTAAGTATAACAGGACGATTTAGTTCTCGCTTTTTTGTGGTTTTGTCCAGTGTGGTTTTATTGGGTTGCCTCGCTAGGTTGCCTCTCGCGCGCCCCCTACTGGGGATCTGGCCGAGATGGGAAGTCTGGTTCAGTGACCTGCGTTTCTGCCAACTGGAGGGAGGCCTCATTGTTCTCTAGACCCTCAGGGTCCTTCATCGGATCTTCCGCCTCTGGCTGGAAATTGGGACGAGAGCGTGGGTAAATATCTGAGAGCTTTTGAAGGGGTCAGCTCTGGCCATATTTATCTGCAAAGAAATCTAGGAAATATAATGTAGCCGTGTGCTGGAGGAAATGACTTTGGGGAATATCCAGCCAGACTTTGTCACAGGTAACATTATCCCCATTTTACAGATAAGAAAACGGAGGCTTGAGAGGTGACGGGATTTCCCCGCTTTCACCGTTCAGTTTCCGGGATTGAGCCGGAATACGGCTGACTTCAAAGCCCCGCTCTGAATTACCCTGCTGTTGAGACCGCTTTCTCTCCCGGTGCCTCGCTGGCTCTGGCCAGCGCGGGGTGCTCGTGCACCTCAGAAGGGCTCCCCCAGGCATCCACACTTTCCTCTGGTTCTGGCTTTTTATCTACCAATGAATGGCCTATTGATTCTCTGCCAAGCAGCCCCATCCGCGGGCTTGGTCTGCAATGGATAAAGATTCTGCGAGAGTCGGTGCAATAAAATGTACGAAGACATCGAAACGGGGCGGAAAGGCATAAAAGTAGCTGTCCAGTCGTTTCTTGACAAGAGCACCCATAGTCCAGAGTCGTTTCAGCGGTGTGCTGAATTGTCTGAGTAGAAGGGACTGTGTACCGCCTGCAGATCAGCATTTATCAACGGGAATTAGACAGTCTTGTTGTTTTTTTAAAGATTTTATTTGTTTTTAGAGAGAAGGGAAGGAAGAGGAGAGAAACCTGGCTAGGTTGCCTCTCGCGCGCCCCCTACTGGGGATCTGGCCCGCAGGCCGCCGCTCAATCCTCTGAGCCACACCAGCCAGGGCTGCAATTACATGGCCTCACAGTAACGGGGGAATGTCTGGCTCCTGGGTCTGTTTCTTCCCTGGAGAGTGAGGAGCAGGAGTGTTGGGGGCCACTGGGCTTCCCACCCTCAAGCAGAGCCAGGCAGTGTAAGGGGGAGCTGAGGAGGAAGCAAATCTCCTAAAGGAAGTTTGTGTGGTCTAGTCGGGACACGGATGTGGAGGCTGGGGTGGGAGGGTCCGAGGTGCCTTTTTTTTTTTTTTTCTAATCTTCAACTGAGGACATTTTTTAAAATTGCTTTGAGAGAGAGAGGAAGAGAGAGAGAGACAGAGAGTGAGAAAGAGAGGCACATTAATGCTAGAGACCAGGGACTGAATTTAAAAACCTAGGCGTGTAAAAAAAAAATAATAAAAACCTAGGCATGTGCCCTGACCGGGAATGGAACCCACAACCTTGATGGTGCTCCCACCAACCGAGCCACACCAGTCAGGGCCCGAGGTGCTTTCTTTGAAGCTGCGTGGAGGCAGAAGAGAAAGTCCGACCCTGTGAGTGAAGAGGTTTGCCAGGCTGCCCAGCCCATTCGTGTTTCATTTACACTTTGCTCTCGGTGGTGCCTCTGCTTTCAAATGTGTTTAATGTTTGCTTAAGCTTAGCTATTATTCTAGGGAAGAGTTAGAAAATATGGAAGTCAGACTCTCTCTCACGCACACACAAATGTACGTACGCCTGGCTGTTTGGAAGAGGCTCCTGGGCCTGACCTCCACCTCCCAGAAACACGCGCCCAGGCTGGAGGCGTGGCGATGCGGGAGGCCTGGCCATGCGGGAGGCGTCCCTGGAAAGCCGAAGCCCCAGCGGGCGGAGTCAGGAGCAGGCCGCAGGGCGAGAGCACCAGGTCACGGGGACGGCCCTCCCGCCGCTAGGGGGCGCCCTGCCTCAGCTGGAAATGGGACTGTCGCGGGGATGGAGGCCGGCTTCTGCTTCTTGCTCGTCAGTTCCGGAGAGCAGCTAAGCCAACTTAGGAGTTGGTATTACCCCAGGATCCAACACGCTTGAGGGAGCATGTTGACAGCAGGGCGTTTGCATTTTCACTTAAATTTAAAGAAGTTTCCAAAGACTCTGATGGCGAGATCCTTACACGCAGCTGCCTTGCGTTGCCCGGTGGACCGGCTCTTATTTCACTGGTGTAGACACTGTCTGCTTCTCTCTCCGTTTCCATGGCCCTGGATGCCCAGAAGAACGCTTATCATTTAAAAATGAGTATGATAGGAGAGTTTTGTCCAAATCTTGTGCACGGATTTTGACATAGCTTGATTTTTGGCCGAGTTGAATTTAACCCAAACAGAAGCAGGGCCTGTGTTTTGGGATTTCCCTGGTGTTACCTGAATCCTGGGGCTGATCCCGCGATGAAAGTGGGCTGAGCGGTTTCTTCACTTATCCGAGAATGCACTGCCTACCCACTCTGTGCCTGACCTGTGGCAGATGCCCTAGAAACGGAGATGGAAGAGCAATCCCCACCTGCCAGGATCTCGTGGTTTCGTGGGGAAGGAAAGTCCGGAGAGAAATTCGACAGGGTGGCATAGTGACGATTTCGCCCAGGGAGTTGGGATCCTGGACAAAGGCCGCCTGCCTCGCCAGGAGCCAGAGAGTAGGGTTCCCGGAGGGACGACGGGGCGGATTCTTGAGGAACAGGAGCGTGAGAAAGCCTGAGGGAGGGTCCGCAGCGGGGAGGGAGGAAGGAACCGCTGGGCGCAGGGGCCTTCCTGAGGCCGGAGAGAGAGACACGTGCGAGGCAGACCGGCCTGTGCGAGCGGGTGGGACCGAGGGAGCTCAGCAGCCGCCGGTTCTTCTGGATCACTCCAGTGCACGCGAGGGCGTGGGGGCCTGCAGAGAGAGGGCAGGTTTGCAGCGATCCACAGAGAGGGAGGAGAGACACGGCAGTGGGGCCGGGTGGTCGGGTCGGGAGGCTGACTCCAGGGCTCTGGGAGCCTGGGTGTGGGCGCAGAGACGCAGGGGGATGATCCATCCACAGCGAATGGGTACAGCGGGGAGCTGAGGGTGCCGGTGAGAAGGGGGCGGGCTTTAGGCCGGCTGGGAAGCACGTGAAACCAGGAGGCCTAGAGGGAGGAGGACCTGGAGCCTGGGGCCCCCAGGCCCCTCGGGACGTGGGCAGTGGGAACCAGGGTGGGGGTGGGGAAGGAGCCCCAGCTGTTGTGGGTGGGAGTGCCAAACGGTGCGGCCGCTGCAGGAAATTTGGGGGCTCCTCGGAAAGTTAAGGATGACCGTGGGACGCAGCAGCTCCACTCCTCGGTATATATCCAAAAACATAAAAAGCAAGGCTCGGATACTTGAACGTCGGTGGTGCTATGCACAGAAGCCGGAAGGTGGGAGCAGCTCCCGCACCCATCAAGGATGCCTGGAGAGACAGTAGGTGGTCCACACAGACCAGGGGATGCTCTTCAGTCCCACGGAGGACGTCCTCATACGTGCCATACCCAGATGGACGTTGGAAACGTTTTTAGGTGAAATAAGCCAAAAAAGGGCGAACAGTGTATGGTTCCTCTCGCCTGAGGTAGCTGGAATAGGCCAACTCAGAGCCAGAAAGTTCGAGAGCCGTTTGCCACGGGCTTGGAAGGGGGAGTCCTTGTGCAATGGGTCGAGTGTCGGCGGTGATGAAGAGTTCCAGAAAGAGATGGAGGTGCTGGTCGCACTCCGTCGTGAATGTGGTCATGCCACTAATGGCTCACTTGAGGACAGTTCAGTGACAAATGCTAGGTCATGTGTATTTTCCCATGAAAAATGCTGGGATGATGGGGAGCCACAGGGGTCGGAGCGGGGGCAGCGGAGGCTGTTGGAGGGGCTCAGGCTCCTGCAGAGGGCAGCCGCGGTGTGAGGGCGGGCATGGGCTGTGGAGCTCACCGCCCAGGAGGGGAGTGTGGGGAGGGCCCCGGTGATGAGGCTGACCATTAAGTGGCGGGTCCCCGGACACTGGTCTGGTGAGAGGGTGGGACCTGGGTGCTGGGAAAGGCCGCAGCCCTGCACACAGACCCGGGAGGAATATTGGGAAGCTCTCCGTGGGTCAGACGATGGCCTCAGGGGCGGAGTCTGGAAGCAGACGAGCTTGGGACAGCTCGGAGGAGGGACAGGGAGTAGGGGGCCGCGCCTGCCGCGCTGCACAGTGGTCGGCAGTGAGAGGAGCCCCCTCCTGCAGTCCCCTCTGTGGCCACCTGCTATCCCCTGGCAAATTCCAAATGCAATGGTGGGTGATGGACATGTTCTGATGCATTAAATGCTTTCTGAAGGGCTAGATAACTTCCAAAAGACGTGACTCGTAAATCTAACAAAACAAAACAAAACGACCCCCTGGCTGGTGTGGCTCAGTTGATTGGGTGCCAGCCTGTAACCCAAAGGGTTGCCGGTTCGATTCCCAGTCAGGGCACATGCCTGGGTTGCAGACCAGGTCCCCAGTAGGGGGCGTGTGAGAGGCAACCACACTTTGATGTTTCTCTCCCTCTCTTTCTCCTTCCTTTCCTCTCTCTCTAAAAATAAATAAAAACCAAAAAGAAAAATAAGAAAAAAAAGATGTGACTCGTAACAATAACCTCTTTTGTCTTGTAACTGATCCGGTTCTAGAATGAATAGGCGTGCCAGGCCGAGGGCGCAGTGACTCCAAACAGTTTAATGTAATTCCAAGACAGTGTGATCACATCGCTACACATATACAATATGCATATGTGAGTTTACAGATTTTCATTAATAACTCATTTCACCTCAGAGACCGAAAAAATGATCGAAAAGAAACTGTGAGTAACAAGCTATAACATAGTTCACCACACGGGACCCCCCCTTCTCACCCTACAGTTAGTAATATTACAATTAAAATAACTATATTCTTCTATAATTTTTCTGTTAAAATCATCTCATAAATTTACAATGCTATTATTAGTTTCCAAGACTAATATAAATTCACTCCATTTTTCTACAACGAAAATGATTATTAATTTAGAAGCACACGACGCCATGATGGAGAAACACAAGCAGTTCAGGAGCAAGGACTGGATCGGTTAAGAATTATTTTCCTTGTAAAACATTCTAGAGCCAAGTAAAATATCCATTCTTATAACATACCTATAATATGAGACTAAGGAGTAGGTTACATGGAAGTCTACGACACATTGGTTTGTCTTTTAAAAAAGTAGACATTTATAAATAAAAAAGAAAAGAGGGACCATTCACATAGGAAAAAGGGGTTACACGAGAAAATACTGTTGCACGCAACCATTTTCACAAAGAGTAACGTGGATTAACACTTTTTATTACAGAAACCGTACAGTGAAGGAACACGACAGACCAGGGCCTCCGTCGGGTCACGGGGCTGGGCCGGCCGGCCGGGCAGAGAAAGACCTGGACCAGACGGCCTCGCGGGGGTGGGGGAGCCGCGTCCCCGGGCTGGTGCGGGAGCGTCGCCAGGCCCCTTCCCGGTCCTCGTTCTGGGGGGGCAGTGAGTCCTTCTGTCCGGGGTGTCCTACGCTCGCGGCCGCTGGCAGGTAAACATTTCTACAGATCTGCTCTCGTTCCGTCCTAATGGATACCATTTTTGGAAACTCGAGTGTCAGAGGCGGCAGCTCAATACGTGTGGTCAAAGCAAATCGGGGTGGAAAATTCCAGTCATTCGGATCTGTTGCCTCCCCGCTCATCTCCGCCCTTGGTGCTGGGGACCCAGAGAGAGCAGCGTCACCCCCCAGGTCCCGGGGGTGCTGGCTGGGATGCCGACTCGGACTTCTGAAAGCTCCCCTGCCTCCTCATCCGTAAAGCTATACTTCTCCTATCCGCGATTTGGCTTGATATATATATACACAAACATATATATCAACATCTCTACCTGTACAGGAATTCTCGACTAGACTAGAAACTGCTGCCCCACAGTACGACGTCCTGGTCTACTTCATTTGGTTAAGAAGATGCACACACAGGGGATGAGGAGTTGCTTTGGGGGCCGGGCGTGATTGTGCCCTGGGAAAGCCACGGAGGAAGTCGCAATGAGCGGTCACACCGGTGAGGAGAGAGGCGGGGGCATCAAGGACAGGAGCACCTGCGGGGAAGGGGGGGGGGCGGGGCGGGGCGGGGGGCGCTTTATAGGTTCCATTCAGAAGTCACAGAAAGCTACAAAGAGTGGGCATGGTCAAGTCACTTTTCACTTCCCAAGTTCTCCCTTATAACCTGAGCCAAACTATTAAAATAATAATAACAACAACAACAACAATAATAAGTCCACTGCCCCTTCAACCAAGCAGACGACTAATTGACAGGGAGGCAAGATCACCCCTCACAAGGTGAAGTGGGCCCTCCTTTCTGGTTCTGGGGGGCTTCCTGGGAGGCCTGGGTGCCTGAAGGGGGGGTGGGGCTGTAGCAACGGCCAGGGGACAATGGCCCAACACGGGGAAGGGGAGGCAGCGGGTGGAGGGACTCGTGTGGAGACTGGTGGGAACTAGAGAGCAAAGACAGAGCCCTTTTTCAGATCCAGTATAGTTACTTTTGTTTAAAAAGCCAATTTCTGTACCTCTAGTTTTTAAAAATACGGTTAAGCCCTCAGGACAGTGACGTAGAATTCATTTGGTTAAATAAAGCACAGGAGAAAACCAACCAGAGGAAAGTGGGAGTATCATCAGGAGGGGCAAGATGAGAAATATTTTACAATAACATTTCTAACAAAAAACTGTAATACGAGCATACTGTCGATGGAGTTCCCAGGGAAAAAGCAAATGCGTTCTTGGGGAAAAGATCACCACATAGAAGACAAAGAGTTCCCTGGTCCCAAATGTTTGCAGCTTTCACGGTCTTATCTGCTAAAGGAATGCCCTTTAGTTCACAGCAGTTCCTCCTCACAAACAAAACAAAACAAAACAAAACAAAAACCCACAAAAAACAAACCAACATTCTTAGGGGAGCCCGCATTTCCCAGTTGGTTGCAGCGGGAAGTGGGGCCCTGGCTCCGCAGCCTCTCTTGCCTTTTCAGGGGGTCTCAGTGGCCCCCGCTGGCCCTCAGTCCCCAGCCCCCCCCTCCAGCTCAGCAGCACCCACATTCTCCCCGAAGGAACCCGGGTCCCACCTCCCACTGGACTAGGCTTCACGTGCGAGATGGACGGTGCACAGGGTGGAAGGCAAGCACATCCTTTTGCATGTATCTCGTTTTAAGGGAGAAAAGGCTCCAAAGACAGCAGATATGGAAAGCCTAGCCCACGCGGATGGGCTTCGGGACGGACCAGTCACCCCTGCAAAACACCCGCCAGACCTGGCGCCAGGGGGCCCAGAAACAGCAGCTGCACCTTCGGGGCCATCCGAATCCCAGTGTCTCCTACTGCCTAGCGACTGGAAGTCACTGGATCATTAATAAGTTAAACATTCAAATGCAGACAAAGCCAGTGAACCAGGTGTCTGTGCTCCCTGCCTCTTCCAAGATCTCAAAGGGAAGGCCTCGAAGACAAGGGCCATGGCGGCCTGGCGTGAGGTCCTCGCGCCTGGCACGGGCTGTGGACTTAACCCGGGAACCCTTTCACATTCGCGCGCGTTCTCGTGGGGACCGGTTACACGGAGGGAACGCTGTGCTGGGCCGCCCAGCACAACGGGGTGCGTAGGACAGCCCTGCCTTGGGGGACACGGCCCCCGACTACAGAGGCAGTCGCTGGGGCTCGAAGGTGTCAGTTAGCCAACAGAAATCCTCTTTAAAAAGTACCAGTTTAAATGTAAACTCTAAAACACTTTAACTATAAAAGGTAGCCAGACACGTGCTGAAGGATCCACAGTTGATTATTTAGTGTACGCATTTAAAACGTGACTCTCTCAATGTCTCAGAAGGCTGACAGCATTTTACAGTAGCTAAAAACAGATATACTTAATGTGTGCATTTGAGGGTCGCATCTGATTACAACACACAAAGAATCATTTCTTCCTTGGTTTAACTTTTTAACTGCTGTAAAGATGAAGCTATTTTCAGAATTCACTTACTCAACAATGACCAGGGTGTGCATTAATCATTTTCAGCTCCCACAGAGTTCGTGGTCTTTCAAGTCCCAAGATCCAGCTGGCTACATGATTTCAAAAAAGGCTAAAACCAGGATGAATGCCCACATTTGAGGTAATTATTGCCATTAGATCACAGTTTAAGATAATGCATCTAAAACCTTCTTTACAAAAATCTGCAGGCACGCTGTCAGAATCCCACCTATCGAATCCGCCCCGGGGATCTCAAATTCCGATGAGCTGGGTTTGCTTCCAATGGAGTTCAAGTTCTAGATGACTCTAAAACTTGTGTAAACTACGTAAGAATTTAGGCCAACAAGTCTGGAGCCAGTCAAGAAAGATGCTTTTTAAGATAAAAAAGAAACCAGAAGACCCCACCCCAAATAACTGAGATGTTTCATTTAACAAACGATGAGTTTTCAATCTAGTCCTAGAGCTTCTTGTCATCTTTCAGCCGAGATCAGAGCACTCTGCATTTCTGCCCGTCTCAGACTTCAGGGGAGACCGTCTCTCCTCCCCCTGAGTCCAAAGGGCGGGCTGGTTCCCCCAGCTTCCATGTCTCTGAGAAGGCCATCTCAGAAGGAAACTGGATTTTGCTTTTCTTTCTAAAAATCACCTTGTCTTTCTCCTTCTTTTTTTTTTTTTTTTTTTACACAAGGAAACAATGTTCCGGACGCCAGACCCACACACGGTATTCACAGGTGTGCTGTGGACCCACGTCTGGTTCTGCTGGAGAGTGGACCGATGAGAGAGACCAGAGTCGCCGCCGGTGCAGTCAAAAATAGCATTTGGAAAAAAAATATATGCCTTTAGTATTGCCTTTCTAGAATTAACTATAAGCAAGAAAAACTTATTTTTTTAAAGAAGAAAAGAACACTTTTTTTCTCTTCGCTCCCATAAGAGCTTCTGGTAGCAGCAGTACTGAAATAGTAGGTACACTAGAAAGGAACCTGAAGTGAATTCTACTATGAATCAAAAGAGATACCCCTACAACTTCCTCTGTAAGTCACACCAATTCTCACCCCTCTGCTCGCATGCAACTCGGGACTCCCTCTCCACGCACGGCCAGGGCCCGTGTGGGGGACACTCCTCCAAGGCCTTTCTTTGCACTTACACACGGGAGGCGTCAAGGTTAGTGGCTATGAGCTCTGTTCTGGAGGCAGGTGGACCCCGGTTCAATGTCGAGCTCCCCACTAGGTGGGGGGCCCTGGGCATGCTCCCAGCTCTCCAAGCCAGCGGCCTCATCTGTGAAGGGACTGATAATGCTGATTTCACAGGTGACTATGGGGATGAAGTCAAACAAGCTCACCAACGAGCCATGTCCAGCCTGATGCTTGGCGCTCAGCCAACGGGAGCATCGTGAAATGGTCCGTCAGAAACGGGAGGCCATTCATCGCTATTAATTAAAAAAGCAAAACAAAACCCTATCTCAGTCAAGCCCCCCTTAACAGAAAATTTCACTACAAACATGGTTTCAGACCATTACATTTTCTTTCCTTTAGCACACAGGGCTTCTTCCCCGCCCCTTAGAATGTCAGCTTTGTCATCGGTAAACAGGGGGGTCGGTGGTGGTGTACACGGGTGGCTATGAGGGCCCCAGGAGTTCGTGGTGTGGCCCAGGACCTGGTGCATGGAAAGCTTTCAACAAACGTTGCCTATTATTTACTTGAGGGATATTGCAAGCTTTAAGAAATGAGACCGTCATCATGATGTTCTCATGCAGGGCCTGAGATTAGGGGCTGTCAAAGGCTTGGGGAAGGGGCACTGGGCGGACTCGGGAAGACCCCCCTCGAGGGAAGAGGTTTTCTGGAGCTGGCTCTCTCCACCTTCTGGAAGCTGCCAGGAAGCCGCGAGAAGCCCCTGCGAGGTCAGGCTGTGCTCGTGAGCAGTGGCGCCAATGGCCTTGGAAAGGTTTCTGTTGTGTTTAAACATCACTCCACCGTCTTCAGTTCTCTGGTAGCTCGACTGAGATTTCACGGCCGCTCTGTGCAGACTAGAAGTGAGAGTCCAAAGGCATCAAAGCGGAAAAGCACTGATTCCCCAGCCCCGCTCGGGTGCGCATTGGAACCCCCGACACAGCTGAACCTCCGGGGGCCCCTCGCAGCCACATCATGGTGGTGGCATCGGTCGGTCAGTCGGTCCGGCTCCCGTATGTGTGCGGTGTCTCCGGGCCCCGAGTAGCAGCAGCACCAGGGTTCCTAATCCCTACTTCTCTGAAAAGGTGAGTACAGTTTCTAAATAAATGTAATCACAACACAAAAGGGTCAGAGGAAAGAGAAAGACGAATGCGGTTGCATCGCTAACAATGTCATTATTGCCCAGAAAGGAAAGACAGAAACGCCGTTTTGTCTGCATTGGGAGGTGTCTTGGAGAAGGGTTCTTTGGCTAAAGAAGGGAACAGTTTCAGCTTCCTCTCCCATTTGGTAAGGACATCTCCGGCCTGCTCAGTGTTGAGGCTTCCCCATCTGAAGTCTGTAAGATGCTCCAGGAAGAGAGGACGCAGAGCCGGCGAGAAGCACACTACGTCCCCGGGGCTGGATGTTTTCACAGCAAAGTCTCTCAGCTCGCGCCTCGAAGTCCCGGGCTCAATCTGTGGAGGGAAACCTCGCCTCTCTGTTGGATTTTCTCTGCCACTCAGGGCACCTGGTCGTCTTCTTCTGTTTCCTGGCCCGGCAGCCACTGGGCAGGCGGCGAGCGCCCCACACGCCTCCCCGCCCCCAGCTCCAGACAGAGAACCCGGGCGAGAGCCAGGGCCAGCGGGGACACGCCGCGGCCCATCTGTCACAGCTCCTTAAGCCTCCTCGTCTCCTTCCTCCAGTTTCCAAGAAAAGTCTGCTCCACTCACTCACTCACGCTCACACACCCCAAATCCTCCGCCACAAGCTTGTTCAAAAATGAGCGTTTGCAATTCTGAAGGCCTGGCCGAGGGAAAGCAGCCTGGGAGCCGCGGGGCCGAGCCTGCCTTCCCTCCTCACACCGGGCAGCCTGGTGCCCGGGCAGGGCCTCTCCCGGGGCGCAGGGGCCGCGCCGCTGGCTCCCACAGCCGGCGGGCCCCTCCCCGCCGGAGCGCAGGCCCCGGCCCGGGAGGCGACTGCCGCTTCGCCCCAACCCTTCTTCTCCCTCTGAATTCGATCAACCACATGCTCTTCCACAAAAGTAATTGGCATCAAGCCTCAGACTCTCCCACCCATCGGCCTGCTCACCCCTTCTCTTGGAAACAGCCACATCGTCACGAGGGAGGCTCCAGCCGCAGAGGCGCGCACACGCACGCGGGCCAGCGGGGGCCTCAGGCTCCTGCCGCCCGCCCGGCTCTCCCGGCCCGGCCGGTCCTTTGGACTTGCCCCCTCACTCTAACGTCGTTTCTCCAGCAAACGCGGAGGAAGCCAACTGTGGGACGGACGATGCTCTGGGTCACCCGAGGTCTAAACAGGACCAGGACTAGGCCGGCATCCCTCTAGTTGAGAGCTGGGCCCCAGGGACCGGCAGCCCTATGTTCACCCATCTGCCAGGGTGACGCGGAGTGGGGGGCGTGGGGGTGGGATGGGAGGTGGGGCAGCGCTAAGGAGCCCGTGCAGAGGCTGGCCTCTCCCACGGGGGACTCGGACCCCACGGCTCCCTGCCGGGGACGGAGCGAGGAAGGCAGGCAGGGGCGAGGGGGTGCACACTGAAGTTTGCCGAGTGTCTGCGGGACCGGCCCTGCCCAGCCGCCTCCCCTTCCACGAAGCTGGCCATTTCAGCCCTTTCTTCATCCAGGGCCCACTGGGTCTAGGCAGCTGCGGGGCCGTGTCAGGGTCCGCTGGCCTCCCACACCCTCCCCCTCCCCGTTTCGGGGCTCCCTAGTTTGTCCCGAGAATTGCGAGCTGCGACGATGAACTGGGGGAAGGGGTTGGTGAGCCGGAAGAAGCGGTCAGTGAGTGGGAGGGGCGAGGCGAGGCTGAGATCTCCCGGGGGAGGGTACCGCCTGCCTGGCAGTCCTACCTGGTCATCTGGGAAGGGACGGCGGTCTCTGCACTGAAGGACATACGCCCCACTCCTGGTGCCCGGAAGGGAAACGGGAGGACAGCTGGGGGAGGGGCTGGGTCAGCGGCTGGGCAGGTAAAGAGCAGGCGTGAGGCAGGCCTAGATCTAGGGAGCAGATTTCGGGGAGGGAAGGGGGCGGAGGGCCCTGGCTCCGGCTGCAGCCCAGGAGGCGCCAGCTCTCCTCTCTCCCAGGCCACTGGGAGCCGGGGGAGACACAGCGCCCCCTCTGGCCTGTGCGGAGCAGAGGAACCTGATTCCTCCAACTCCAGTTCCGTGGTCGACCTTCCCCGACAGAAACGGGTTTCCTGACTCCCGGTTCTTGCTTTTCCTTTTTGTCTGGCAAAACTGGACATCTGCCTGTCCCTCCCATCTACTCACACGCTCACAGATACAATAAAATAAGTTTAAATATTAAAGAGAAAACACAAAGATACATGGAATAAATGTGCATTTCAAACCCCAACTAAGATATCAACACGATGATAATCATGATAATAATTACAATGCTAATAATCAAAATAATTAGTACAATAATATTATCTTTATGAGCAGCATGGAACTTTCATTCCTGGTCTGGAAGAAAAGGAAAGGTCAGGTGAAAGAGTCAGAGACTTCCCACTTAGTAGACAAAATCATTCGCTTGGACTTGGAAGGCTGGTGTCTTTCCCGTGAAAGGCCGGATGGAGAAAGGGTTGGAAGTCAAGTGCGGGAGGGGCCCCAGGGTGCCACCAGTCAGGCAAAGGGAGGTTCGCGTCACTGGGCTCCGGACCTGGTGGGGACATCGCTGCCTCCTGGCTGCAGAGATCTGGCCTTCCAGGCCGGCAGGCCCCTGGGAGGGCGCTGGCTCCCGTGTCCTCCACACTCTGCCCCCAACCCCCACCGGACTGGCCGCCTTCCTCTTGTCTCAGAATGAGGGCACGCCCCCGCTCCCAGATAGAGGCTGCCCGATGGAGCATCTCGTCCCGCTGGCCACCTGGGGGGCTGTCCTGGCTCAAGAGGGTCAAGGCGTCCTTCCTTCCAGCCTAAGGCCTGGACTAAACTGGTTCCAGTTCGGGGACCTAGTCCTTGTAAGGTAAGTAGCATGTATGGTGGGGGAGGGGAGACATCCAGAGTTATTTCACAATTCACAGCTAAGAGCTAAGGTAACAGCTTGGCTTCCTCACCTTTCACAGTAGATCGTTAAGGGGGGGGGGTGCAGGGCGAGGAAGGGGGAGGGGAAGACTAGGACGCACTGCCGCCATCGGGAGCCACCTGCACCCTGGAGACTTGGCTTTGGGGTTCCCTAAGGACTCAGCACAGAGAACCAAACAGGGTGGACCCCTTCTAAAGCTACGTCTCCCTGCCTTCATGCGTGTGAGCTGCTGTGAACGGAGAGACCCTGCCCCACGAGCAGCAGGTTCAAAGCCCGAGACGACTCCCAGAACGTATCACAGGTGCAAACAGGGCGAAGGGCACATTTCTTTGGAAACCTAACTGGTGGTGGGAGTGCTTTCCAAGGTGCAGTGTGAGAACCCTCGGTCACCCTCGTAAACGTCCTTTCCACCTTCTGCCCACTGGGCCCTCAAAAATCAAAACACAGTGTGTCACAGGGAGGCCCGGGTAACGTGAGGGAAAGGCTTTGGCGGACACAGGTGGACGGCTGTCCGCAGAGGGAAGGATCTGGCGAGAGGGGAGAGTGAGCGAGGACAGGGGACCAAGGAGGGGCGACACCGGGAGTGCGCAGGGCAGGGCGCAGGCAGGGCGCGGGTGAGGACGGGTGCCCGCGGGACCAGGCCCCCTCTCTGCCGGCCCTGCCCCACCAGGAAGGACACAGGCGCCTGGCAAGGCCCGAGTTCCATAAACACAGAGGGCACCTCGGGTACCCTGGCCGCCACAGCTGGCCACACAGGTAGGACTGGGGGCAGCACGAGGTGAGGGTGCGGGGTGGGGAGTCTCTCTCGCTCTGTCTCCGAATAAAAGTCCACTAGACCCGTCACCACCAGCAGGCTCACCCCCGCCGGCCGTCCCGTGCCTCCCTCAACACCCGTGCCAGCTCCCCGACACCCCTCTGCCAGCAAACAGCCTAGAAAGACAAGTATAAAAATGAAATTAAAATTAAAACAATTCTGTTTTTTAAAAAGGAAAGACCAGAGTAAAACGTTTCAACAGCACGAAAGAAGAGCTGAGATGCTCCGACTCGCCTCCGCCCGCTCCTCGGAGTCCCGCGGAAGCAGCCCCGCGCGCGTCCGTCGTCGGTAAGGCACTAGGAGGGAACGATGCCAGGCAGAGGCCGCGGGGCGGCGCCCGCAGCGGCCCGGCACGGGGGAGGGCGCGGCCGCACGCGCACCCGCACGCGCGCGCGCTGGACCACCGCGGTGCTCGCATGCCTGTGTCATCTCATTGTTTCCTTTTGTGCAATCACACTGAGGAATAGTCTATTGGTATCACTGGAGCTGAACACAAAGCAGAAAACGGGGGACGGGGTGGGGGGGGTGGGGGGGGCGGAGCGCTACATTCCTCTAGGGGGTCGGCGACCACCGGGAGCCCCATGCCAAGTGACTAGGGGCGGATTCAAAGAGAAAACAAATCTTCACAAAAGAAAAAAAGAACTGAAGTTCGCAACACACACCATTAATGACAGCTGAGGAGTAACGGTGCTTAGGGATTTATCCAGAGAGCTCAGAGAGAGAGAATGTGCCCCTGCCGGAGGCAGCTGCCTTCCGCCCAGCCCCCAGCCCCCCCCAGCAGTCCTGACCACGAGCCAGAACTGGGCTTTGCTGACCCCAGACCCGTCCCCAGATACCAGCCTCCTCAGGCCGTGGCCTGACCTTTGAGGGCTGTTGACCCTTCAGAGTTCTGGAAAAATCCCTAATTCTTATGTTCAATAATTAAAAATCTACTGGATTTCCGTATCAGGCGTCCCCGGACAGCACACTCTCAAATGTCACTTGCTGCCATATGAAAATAATCTTTGAAAAGTTCATAAAGTTCTTCAGAAACTGGGGCCCCTCAACTTCGGAATCTTCCATTGCTCTCTTCTCCTCCTCCTCCTCCTTTCCAGTTCGGTGCAGAATGGGTCTGTGAGCTGTATTTCTGTTACTGACATTTTGTTTCTTTTTTTTCTTTTTCTTTTTTTAAAATAAAAAGCATAGATTCCCCACCCCCCCCATCCTGAATCCCTTCATTTTGTAAAATGTTCTCTTCTCTGCTCTGAGTCCTCCCACTTCCTAGTTCAAGTTTCACCGGTGTCCAGCCCCTGCCCCCCAGCCCCCTCCCCTGCCCCGTTTGCATTGTTTCTGTGCGGCATCTTCAGTATAAAAACCTCGGCTCCCAGGAGGTCCCTCCTCCTCTCCCTCCTCCCCTCGGCCATGCCCCGCCCCCTTCCAGTGTTTATATGTAAGGGTACTGGTTGACCTTGGCAGGGCTCAGTGGGTATCCAGTGTAGACGGTGGAGGCTGGAGAGGCGCTGATGTAGGTCTGGTGGGCGAACTGGGCTGGGTACTGACTCGGGTGGATGGTGGGTGAGGGCAGGACCCGGGGGCCCATGCTCACGGGCACCTGGTGGACGATGCTGGCCGGGTAGGCAGTGTGCTGCACCGTGTGCCGCGCCGAGCCTTGGGAGGCCACCAGGTGGGCCACGGTGCCGGTGGAGCCCAGGGCCGCGGGCGCCGTGTAGGTGTAGAGGTGGGGCTGGGCGGGAAGGTGGGCGGCGGCGGCCAGGTGGGGGTGCACAGTGCCGTGGCTGGGGCTGTTGTGCGGGAAGGAGTACGGGGCCTGGGCCATCGTGGGAGTGATGTAGGCCTGCTGCCGTCGGTGGCTCCCGGCGCGGTCTGCGGTGATGTGCTGCTGAGCCTGGACAAGAGAAGCACCAGGAGAGGGCTGCACCGGGGGCTGGGCCCACGTGGGGTGGGGGGGGAGGGAAGCGGGAGGAGGCCCGAGGCTGGGGGACTGACAGGAGCTGTCTGCTGGCGCACAGGGAAGTCAGGTCAGCGGGGCCCAGCAGCCCCCAGTGGATGACACAGACTAAGCCGCTGCCGCAGAGGGCAGGAGACAGTGCCTCCTCCCAAGGACAGGCTGCAGCTGGGAAGAGGCAGAGGAGCCCCTCTTGGAGTGACACTGGTTTCTCTCTCGCTGTGAAACTGTGTCTCTGAAATCAAGGCCCTCGGAAACTCGGCTGTTTGCAGCCGCACCGGTGCCCGCAGACCAGGCCTCTCTCTCTCTCCTGCACGACCTGCGTCCCCGGGATGGAGCTGCAGCCGCGGCTTACAGCCCAGCGTCAGCCCTTCACACGAGGGCTTCTGGGCAAAACCCGCCCGCTTGTCCCACCTCTGTGGTTTCCAAGGAAACTGCAGACCCGAGCTGACCCTTCGCTGATGGAGGCCGGCCCTGCCCTCAGAGACCCTGCTTTATCTGCATGCCCTTCCCCAGCACGTGGACCCCTGCCCTTGGTCTGCGGCTTCAGGGAGTGGCTTCCTGCACAGTGAGGACCCAGTGACGCCGACTCCGTTGAGCCGCATGTCTGCCCCTGGTGCCCTGGCCTCACTCACTGGGCCAGGACGCGGAGTTTCACCCAGCGCTGGGCCGAACTGGCCAGCTGTGGGCCATCCAGATCTAAGCTCCGGCACAGGCCCCTCAGTGCTGCGTGACTTCAGACAAGTCCCCCTGAGGTGGGCCGGCTCTCCGTGAAGCACCAACATGGACTTCCCCAAGGGTGACCGTGGAGGAAGGAAAACCCCAGAGGTCACGCAGGGCACTTCCTGCCACTGCCAGAGGGGTTGCAGCGCTGTGAGGCGGGCCCGGGTCCATCACTGCCACCCTCTCTCCACAGCGCAAACGTGGAGGGCGCGGGGGACGCCCCAGGGGAACTTACCTGGCTGAGGTTGAGAGGCTGCTGCTGCTGGAAGTGCGGTGCTGGCCGGTGCTGCCGGTAGGCGACGGCTCCGGACGAGCTCCCTGAAGAATGACCGCTGGTGGAGGTCACATTGCTGGAGGACTTGGACTTGTAGGAGGACGAGTGGTGGCTGGCGCTGACTGTGCCGGGAGGGAAGCAGGGCACGGGTCAGCTGCCGCCGCCCCTCCGGGGGCGGGCCGCACTCTCCCGGGAGGGAGCCCATTTCCGAGGCCAGCAGAGGAGACCCCGGCAGGGCGAGGCCCGGCTGCTGACTTTCCCCTTAGCCCCACCAAACTCTCGCAGAGCTCATTCTGCTGTTTTCCGAAAGAACCTTCACTGACCCAAGGGACCCGAGAGGCTACACGGGAAACCCTCCACAGTCCTTCCAGGGCTGCGCACCGCGGGAGGGGGACCGCCACCTGCGCGGCGGCCGCCCTGCTGGGAGCGTGCTGGCAGCTCCAGCCACCGGGAGCGGAGGAAAGCGGCCCTCCCGACGCTTCCGAGCCGAGGGGCATTTTGCAGCCAAGGGCGCGTAGTAGGGTTGAGAAAGGCCTCCAGCTGTGGATGGGCAGGCAGCAGAATGAAGCCCTTCCCACCCCTCCCGTCGCTGGAAAGGCTGTCCTCACCGGGGGAAGTGGGTCTCTCTACAGCGGAAACGAAGCCACTGGGTTTTCCAGAGACGGCGGCCCTGGTGGCTTTCGATCCCACAGCCTCCCTGAGAAGGACCTTCCGTTTTTCTCTTTTTTGTTGGAAACGTCCCTCAGAGAGTCTCAGCTATTCAGGTAGTTGTGTCCCGTGGAAATGCGGGGACAGGGGCTCAGAGACGGGCTGAGCATGGAAGCGGCCCATGTAACAGGCGTGCAGGGCGGCTCCACACCCCGCAGACAGAAACCTGCGGCTGTGCTGGGTGGGGCTGGCCCTCGGCTTCCTCGCCGGCCTTTGCTGGGGGTGGGACGAGGTGGTCGTACAGCTTCAGTAACTTTCGCCACCGTTTTGTCACAGAGCTCCGGGGGGGATGATCCCGACCAGGGAATCTGGCCGCCCTCCTATGCACCCTCCACCTTTTCTGTTTTATACGGCCAAGAGACGTGCAGCATCGGCCACTTGAAAAAAAAATCAATTCCTACGTGATCTGCATAAGGTCTATCTTGAGCCCAATCTTAGACACAATGTCGCGTATTTTTACGGAGTCAGGGCTGTTCCCGGACCCCCCTCGGGTGTCTGGGAACACACATGCGCTCACTTCTGGTTTTCGACACCCGCTCTCATCCCGCAGGTCTGCGGCCCCGGGCCTGAAGTCCCTGGGGCCGGACGTGTTCCAGAGTCAGATGTCAGAAAAGGAATTCGGCACATGTTCAGCGTCCCAGGTGCCCCCAGCGGAGCCATGACATGCCCTGCCATCAGACACGGCACAGGGATGGTCCCCAGTGCGGCGTACAGACACGAGCACGGCACGCGTGTGGTTGTGGCAGCGAGACTGCGAGTAGCCCCTGGCTGGGCCGGGCCAGGCCAGGTTCAAACTTAAAATTTGCTTTTCGGAGCTTTTTGGATTTGGGATTGCAGACGAGGGGGGGAACATTTCTTCTCCTCCGGCACAACAAAGGGACTGACAACCTTCCTGAGGGACTCCACCCCACAGCCCCAGGACCTGGTGCTGACGGAGTGAGAGGGCCCCTCCCACCAGGCCGGGAGCACTTAAGGCTGCAGGGTGTAAACGCGTAGGGCTCCTCAGGCCTGAGGGGGCGGCAAGGAAAGAGGGAAGAGGCCAACATCCACATTCTCAGCTTTTAAGTGTTTCTTTTCCTAAACTGCCGCACCGGCACCGGGTTCCCTCTGCCAGGTTCTGGCTCATGTTCACGCTTCTCCCACTTCTCAACAGAAAGGCTTCCCTCGCACGCTCCTGAGTGTCAATACGGCACACTGGCTGACCCCCGGTGTGAGGACCCCCAGGGACCCCCAAATAGGGTAATTCTGGAATGGAGAGCTCTTGAAGGAGAGTCCCTTGAGAACAAACCCAACCCATATCTTTTTTAAAGAGAGAGAGAGGCGGAGGGAGAGAGAAAGGGGGAGAAACATCGATTGGCTGCCTTTTGCATGCACCCTGACTGGGGATCGAACCCAAAACCTCAGCATGTGCCCTGAGCTGGAACTGAACATGTGACCTTTCGGTCTGAGGGACGACGCCCAATCCACTGAGCCACACTGGCCAGGGCCAAAGCCATCTTTTCAGTAAGAAACGTGGGCACCTGTGCGAGATTATTTTATCCAGGCTGCTAACTCTTTGCCAGCTCCCCACTGCATCCACCTGTCCATGAGACAAACTTCAGCGGCGAGCTGGTTGTCACAGGGAAGACTCCCTGGGAGAGGTGAGGTCAGCTCCGGCCGCCTGGGCCGACAACCTGGCTGCATTTCCGTGCGTTCGGTGAGCGGAGTCTGCAGCCTCGGGTTCTGACAGAGGTAGTTAACGCACTTAAACAATGACGCAACGGGCAACAGGGCAGAAATGACACCCTCCGCAAACACCTGACCTGGGAAATGCACGATGGGGAGAGTCAGGAACCGCCCCTTGATAAACACGGGGGCACAGAAGCAGGAGCGCCACGGCTCCGGGAGGGTCTCCTGGGGGAGCCGCTGGCCCACCAGGGCCTTTGGTCCCTGCTGCCTGGTGCTGCCTCCTGCCCAGGTCTCCACGGAGACACTTGCCAACACAGAGTGGGAGGTTTGGGGAGAGGGAAGTCCTCTGCCCCACATTCTGCAGAGTGACCTGGGGCACTGGGCTGGACGAGCTCCCGCATGTCCTGAACACCCTGCCCTGAATGCTACTCTCCCCCTGAGGCCGCCCTGGGGGCAGGACCTGAGCTGCCCAGGCCTAGTGCGCCCTTCAGGTGGCAGCCACCCCAAGAAGGTTCCCAGGTCTCCTGGGGCAGCCTCAGGTGACACCGGATGGATGAGTAACAGCTGGTGAACAAAACAGCTGCTCACGTCCAATAAAATCTTCCTGGCAGCTCACACTCCTTTCCTTCTAAATGGCCTGGATGGGCTGTTGGCGGTTTGGGGCCAAAGAGCGAACACGCACGTTTCTCCTGGTTTATTCCCCAAATTCTTCCGCTGGCCAGCCTGAGCCAGGGAGACTCTGAATAGATGCCACCAGATCTGGGGTGAGGCGCTCAGTGTACCTGGAAGGCTAAGTTCTCAGCCCTCCTTCTAGGGCCCTGTTTTCAGGACCAGCCTTCATGGGATGGCGGGAACCTTTTCATCAAGCAACGTGTGAGGGACAGACACGCTGGCCAGGCCCTCTCCTCCCAGCGGCAACTTCCGAGGAGCCTCGGGAAGAACCTGAGCGGGACTCGGGGAAGGTTCTGCCCGCGCAGGCAGCCCCGGCCCCCAGAGGGACCGATGCCAGCACTCGGTCGGGGGCTCCCCACACCACGTGTCAGTCAGACCGGCGGACGAGGAGCTGGGTGGCTCTTATTTTTGTTTACCAACCACAGCAGAGGGGGAGCCCCCGTAAAGGCAGCGAGGTGTTAGCTACAGAGTTTAATAATGAAAATGCTGCTTATGCAAAGTGAGGTTCAGCGGATGCCTCTCTTCGCTACTGGGACAAAATCTGCAACAACCTGGCACCCGTCCGCCCACGCGACCGAACCGCCGGAGCGGGAAAACAAGGAGACCGGTCTCCAGAGAGGCCCTGGCCCGCGGGGCCCCCGCGTTACCTGGCACCAGGCTGTCGCACTCCACCAGCACTTCGCTGGCCTGGGTTTTCAGGGGCGGCACGATGATGGTCCGGGGGTTCCCCGTGCAGTGGTTCTCCAGGCTCCCCTTGGCGTCGAAGGCGTTGGCGTTGTGCCCCGTGCGGTGCTGCACGGCGTAGGGGCTGGTGTTGCTGGAGGAGTCGGAGTACGGGGAGTCGTGCACCGTGACGCAGCTGATGACGTTCTTCCTCTGCTTGGAGACAGTGCTGCAGAGGGGCAGGGACAAGTCAGGAGGGCGAGAGGGGACGCGCCGGACCAGCAGCTCGGAAGGGGCCCTGCGCAGAGCCCCTCGCGGCGCCCGGGGGTGGCGGATGGAAGCAGGGCGGGAGGGAGGGCAGGCAGGGCGCCCAAGGGTCACCCGTCTGACTGGCAGGGAGGACATGTGACTGTGAGGAAGGGCTGCGGGCGGGCCCACGGGTGCTTCTGGGTACTGGGGAGTGAGAAGCCTTGCATGGGGCCGGGCTCTCCCTGGGTGGCAGTGCACCCTGAGCCACCCGCAGGGGACCTCTCAGCAAAGAGGGAGTCCAGAAGCACCCAGGCCCCCGGAGGCCCTGTTTCAGCAGGACACTCGGGAGGAGGGGAGAGCACAGCCTCCACTTGGGGTGTGCAGCTGCAGCAAACTTGGGGTGGGGGGACTGGAACACCCAGGAGGGACCCGGATGCAGAGAGACAGACGGACGAACAGTGAGGTTCTGGGGAGGCGGGCCCCACAACACTGCTCCGCAGTGCTGAGCGTGCAAGCTCCGAGCTGACGGGGTGCCACCGCAGTCTCTGTGACCTGAGGGCACTGCGCGGGGTCGGGGCGAGGGTCCAGCCCTCAGCGCAGGAGGGGTGCAGCACTGGGTCCAGGTGAGGTCCGAGGGGCTCCTGCTGGCGGGCAGGCCCATTCGGGAGTCGCTCTGGACCTCTGCTCTTCGCCCTGAACCCTAACGTGCCGACAGCGGGAACTTTGGAGGCCCCGGGCCAGGACGGTTTCTCCCTGGGATGTTTCTGTTGGCGAGGTTGCTCTGGGAACCAATTCTGTCTGCCTCCCTGCCCAGACAGAGGCTGGTGGGATGATGGAAATACAATCTGTTGTTTACTGTGAAGGTTTTGAAAATAATGGATTTTCATCTATTTTTGTGTATCGATCATCTAATTTTAAGACATTCTGGTTGCCTAAGTAAGATGGTCAGTTTCCACCTAATTTGCTAAGAGAAGAAACTGGTATTTATAGACACCTAATGGGGACACAGCAAATCGCCGAGGTGTCTTGGCCAAGGTCACGAGGCCAGTCGCAAGCCAGCCCCTTTCTAAGGTCAAGCTCTGCCTTTTACGGGCAGCAGACACGGGGGCAAACTCAGGACCCCAGGTAGCTGGGCAGAAGGCGCGTGGAAGGCTGTTCGCCTACCAAAGGCTGGGGGGTGGGGGCTGGGCGGTGAGGGACCCTGGGCCCCGGTGTGGCCCTCGCTGCTGACACCTGGGCCAATACTTCCTCCAGTGGCCACACATTCCGCCCTCCCAGGTTCCGGGTCCCGGGAATGGGGCCCCTGCCTAACTGTCTGTGGGCAGGGACAGGGCCCTGCAGCCCACTGTCTCCCAGCAGCACTGGTGGGTGGTGTGGCCGTGGGCAGCTCTTCAGCCTCTGAGTGACTGTCTGTCTCCTTATCAGTGAAACGTGGCTAGTAACAGGAGCTGCACATCCCAGGCCCACTCCGAGGGTGCAGAGAGGAAGCACAGGAAACGTGCCCCGAATAGTGCACGACACTACGTGGGCATTCCGTCAGAGTCAGCTACCATCATCACATGAGTCGTGCTACCACACTGCACACACGAGAACAGGTTTGCAAACAGCATCTCTAGGCAAAGTCAATCCTATCGAGGGGCAGACCTGCTGGACGAGTTTCCAGGGCAGAAGTAAGTCACAAGGTTGATACGAAGGAAGTTAAAACTCATCAAGTTAAATACCCCGAAGGCTTCTGCTCGCTGCTGCAGGGAGCTCCTGCACCAAGAGCTGCAGCGCATGTCTGTGCCGGCCGGACGGAGACTGGGGTCTCGGCGGGGGGCAGCGTGCAGAAACGCGACACGGCAACAGTAAGAGCTTTGAGACAACCAGTCGGAGGGAACAAGGGACGTCACAGAGCCTCCGGGACGGACCGCCAGGTGGGCTGTCCAGACAACTGCTCAGAGCTCAGGAGAAGGGGAGGAATCAGCACCTATTTTACAGCTCTTCACAGTAATTCTGACAAAATGGATCCATTTTAATTAATATGAACCTAACCCTCCCATTTATAACAGTTTATTCACTTTTTTAAGATTTTATTTATTTAGTTTTAGACAGAAGGGAAGGGAAGGAGAAAGAGAGGGACAGAAACATCAACGTGTGGTTGCCTCTCAAGTGCCCCCTACTGGGGACCTGGCTCGCAACTCTGGCCTGTGCCCTGACTGGGAATTGAACAGGTGACTGTTTGGTTTGCAGGCTAGCGCTCGATCCACTGAGCCACACCAGCCAGGCCATTTATAACAGTTCAAATGTGAAAAAATCCATATGCTGGTTCCTCAAAAAGCTAGAGGGTCACCGCATGACCCAGCAGTCCCACTCTTTGGCACACGCCCAAGGGAACCAACCGGAAGCGGGGGCTCAGACAGGCACCTGTGTGCCACCGGCCCAGACGGCAGCGCTATTCCCAACAGCCAGGATGTGAAACTAAGTTCCAGGTGAAATAACCAAAGAGGTCATCAGCAGGTGAATAACCAAAATGTGGTACAAGGGGACACTTAACCATGAAAGTGAAGGAAGTTCGGATACACCCTACCGTACGGGTTAACCTTGAAATACTGTGCTAAGTGAAATAAGCCAGGCATGAAGGGTCAGAGAGTGCATTGTTCCAGGTGCATGAGGGACCTAGAATCAGCAAAGTCACAGAGAGAGAGCAGGTTCCAGGGGGCCGGGGAGGGAGGAACATGGAGTTGTTACTGCTCAGTGGGTCTAGTCTGCTTGGGGTGATGGACGAGTTCTGGAAACAGCAAATGTACTTAATGTCACTGAAGTACATGCTTAAAAATAGTTAAATGGCAAATTTTGTGTTGTGTATTTTTTACCACAATTTTAAAATTTAATGCAAAATACCAAAACCATTGAATTATATGAATCACACACTTTCAATGAGTGATTTGTATGGCATGTGAATTATGCCTCGATTTTGAAAAGGTCCACATGCTTATTGGGAAGCAAAAAAGCACCCGGGGCTAGCGGGGGTGGGTGCGGCCCTGAGATCTGGCTCGAGAAATAGTAAGCGGGGCACCGGGAAAAGACCCTGGAGGCCCAGAGTGGGAGAGCAGCAGGCACCTGGGGAGTTGCGGAAAGAGGGGGAGGGAGCCCGGGAGGAGGGCGAGCTGCCTCTCAAGGACAAAGACAAGGGGGCCGGCAGCTGTGTTCTGTGGTGGGTGGGGCTGGGGGAAGGGACACCTGCTGGGTCAGTGCTAATCTCTCCTGTAGGAAGATGCTCATGAAGGGAACCCCGGCCCCTCCCCCACACTGCAGCACAGGGCTCCCAGGACCAGGGGAGATGGTGGCAGGTGGTGGCCCTGCAGCCCCCAGCTCTGGAGCCGGTGAATTGATTCGATAGCTCTGGTTTCGATCTCTTCTATTGTCAGGAATCTCTGTGCCCCACCCAAACATACTATGCAGATTAGCAAACAAACGGGAGGTTGCTAAATGAGGCACTTTAAAAACGAGCACACGTTTGACATCATTACTATGGATTCTTCAGGCTCGTATGTATCGATTCTGCTGGGATTCATTCCACTACAGTGTCTAATTATTACTGAGCGCTAATCAATCCCATTATGAATTGGTTAATGGAAAAGAGAGAGAGAGAGAGACAGAGAGAAAGAGATAGGAGCAGAATGAGAAATATTTGCTTAATGGCCTTGACAGAACATCATTTGCGAGTGAAGAACAAAGCCGCCAGAGTTCACAATTGCATTGTGTTGTCATGGCGATAGATGATTTTCACCATTTTAACATGATGAGAAGAAATAAGGAGATAGAAAGTAAAGACATCAGCCCCGGTGGAGAGAACACTGCCGCAGGATAAGATACAAACCCGTGACCACCGCCCCACCCCGCCCCGCCCCCAGTTCTATCTGGAATGTGTTTTTGCTTTCTATTTGCTACTCTCAGTCCATTCCATCCTCCCAGGCCAGGATCCAAACTCTTCTCCACCCACACCCTTTCTGTGACTTATTTCGCTCCTTTGCTTCCGTGGTCCATGCTCTCTGTGAAGAACACCTCTCCTCCGTGACCACAGCGCCGATTACAAAGTCCAGGCCACGTCTGCTGGACGTGCAATGACCGCTGGAAGCGCTCTGCCTGTGTTATCTCTTTCAGTGCTCACGGCCGGACTGTGCGGGAAAGAACATCACAACTCTGACTTCCAGATTCGTTTAAGAACAATGAACTTCAGCGGTGGGGAGCTCAGGCCACGTGCTTGTCCAAGGCCACACAGCTAGCTAGGGGCAGAGGCAGGCTGAACCAGGAACTAGCACTCTCTCCCTTTTTTGGCTGCACAGAGTAATCTACTGCACGCACGGGCCACACTGTCTGCACCGGTTCATCCGAGGGACACTCAGTGCGTGTCCACTCTCGGCTGCGGTGCGTGATGCCACAGCACACACGAGTGCAGGCACCTCTCTGAGGCCCTGATTTTAATCTTTGGGATACTCAGGAGTGGGGTTGCTGGAGCTAGGGCAGTTCTGTTTGTAATTTTTAGGAGGAACTTCCATACTATTTCCTGCAGTGGCTGCGCCAACCGGCACCCCCGCCGGCGGTGAGCAAGGGCTCCGGCGTGTCCACATCCTCCTCACGACACTCACCGTTCCTTTCTCTGGTAATCACTACCCCGACAGGTGTGACAGCCTCGCTCACGGAGGTTTCGATCGGCATTTTCCTGATCACTAGTGACACTGAACATTTTCTCATATAGCTGTGGGCCACTTATATATCTTCTTTTAAGAACTGTCTATTAAAAATACCTGGCTGGCGTAGCTCAGTGGCTTGAGCGCGGGCTGCGAACCAAAGTGTCGCAGGTTCGATTCCCAGTCAGGGCACATGCCTGGGTTGCAGGCCATGACCCCCAGCAACCGCACATTGATGTCTCTCTCTCTCTCTTTCCCCCTCCCTTCCCTCTCTAAAAATAAATAAAATCTTAAAAAAGAGAAATGT